CCTACCTATACAACAGCCCCTCCACCTCCTCCGCAATAGCCAAACTGCTCGTAAGCCCCGGACTCTCAATAGCCAGCAGATTAACAAACCCCTCAAAGCCATCCTCCCGCACAATGTAAAAGTCCTGGAAATCCTTTCCGCTCGTCGCCGCCAGCTTGCCCAGCTTCGGCCGTATGCCCACGTAATCAGGCGCCACGGCATCTCTATCGATGCCCGGTAAGTATGTTTGAATGTCGTCGAGGGCCGCGCCCAGCGACTTCGCGTTGGGCGTGTAGTCGTCCGGACTATCTGTCCACTCGACGTCTGGCCCGAAGCGCACGCGGCCCGAGAGGTCGAGGGTGAGGTGTGTTCCCAGGCCGCCGTGGCCGGGGACGGGGGCGGGGTAGACGAGGGTGTTTGGGCGGGGGTGGGATGCCGAGTAGGAGAAGTAGGAGCCCTTTGCGTAGAACGCCTTCCTATGTCGGTCCTTGGGGAGGATCATGTTGGAGATTGATACGGCGGCTAGGCCGGCGGAGTTTATTAGTGTTTCGGCGGTTATGGTGGAGGATTCGCCGTTGGGACTTGTTGTTGTTACTTCCCAGCCTCCTTTGCCGTAGTCGATGGGTGTGATGGAGGTTACGGGGGATTTGAAGGCGCAGATGCCCCCCGCGTCTTCGAATTCGCCTTCCAGGAATTGCATTAAGCTGTGTGAGTCTACGATTCCTGTTGAGGGGCTCTCGAGGACGCCTGCTTCGGCGCGGACGGCTGGTTCGCGCCGCTTTGCTTCGTCGGATGTTATGAAGTTTGTCGGGACGCCGATAGTTTTGGCGAATTGGTGAACTTTGTCAATTGCGTCCATTTGCGTAGCGTCCTGGGCGACGATCCATTTCCCCGTGTTGCGGTGGGGAATCGAGTGTTGACGGCAGAGATCGTACATCATTTCCTTGCCGCGAAGACATAGTCTTGTTTTGAGGGAGTCGGTGCCGTAGTAGAGACCTGCATGGATGACCTGTCTCGTTGGTCAGCATTTACTATTCCATCTCCCATCTTTTACTGCTACATGAGTTGATTGAGTTCACTACTCCAAAAAGACTTCAAGTTGGCAATGAGATTCACTCACCTCACTATTCCGTGAACTTGTCTCTGTGCCAACAGTCCCATGTTTCTCAATCAACACAGTCGACGCGCCATCTCTTTGCTGCAGCTTCCTAGCTATTGCCAGCCCCACAACCCCGCCGCCTATCACAGCATGAGTAAAGTCTGCCTGTTGTCGAACACCCGTTGAAAAGTGTTTGGAAAGAAGATTGCGTGATATAGACCGCGGAACGGCGCGAGATGCGAACATGATGGGAAAAAATGATGACTAGAAATAGGACGGGGTTATCTACGACATTGAGGTATGGACAATGACTTCTATGTACAGACAAGAGAGAAGAGTTGGATGTCTATCCGCGGGAGACAAGTGCACTTGTCATTCACAATGGCGGTGCCTTATCAGCAAGCCGTTTCGATGCTTGCTTTGAGATGACGTGGGTTGAATTCAAACGCTAACCAGCTTGAGCATCTAGTCTCTCGACCTCAAGAGCTTCATGACAACACTATCAACAAGCTGTGTTGATAATGTAATCCTTAGATGGAGTTGTGTGTGCAGAGCAATTTCCTAGTCCATGTCGTTCATGCTTGCTGATAACAGTATCCATCTAAGTTACGTCATCGAGATATCACGAAGCTCCATCACGACATTTAGCTCTATTGAAACCAGACGAGCACCTTCACAAAACAACCGTCTCTCTCAAACTTAGCACCCAACAACCCCCCTTCATACCCCTACCCTCCATAGTTTCCCCAAGAAACCAACAAAAAACCACACACAATGTCGGCCACCCCCCGCGTAACCTCCCTAACAGACCTCCCCCCCACCGAAGCAAAATGGATAAAACTGCAAAAAGCAACCTACACCGACGCCCACGGCGCCTCTCGCATCTGGGAAATCGCAACCCGCAAAACAACGGGCAGCGCAGGCGTCGACGCGGTCGCAATGGGCAACATCCTACACCACCCGTCCAAGCCACCCTCCACAATCCTCGTCCTCCAATTCCGGCCCCCAGTCAACGCCTTCACCGTAGAATGGCCAGCCGGCCTAATCGATGCGGACGAAACCCCCGAGCAAGCCGCCGTGCGCGAGCTGTATGAGGAGACGGGGTATACGGGGACGGTGGTCAGTTCGTCGCCTGCTGTTGCGGCGGATCCGGGGATGACGAGCGCGAATATGGTGCTGGTTATGATGGATGTGCAGCTTGAGGAGGGGCAAGAGGAGCCGGAGCAGCATTTGGATGAGGGGGAGGATATTAAGAGGGTGGTTGTGCCGCTTGCGGAGCTGTATGAGAGGTTGGTGGCGTTTGCGGATGAGGGGTATGTGGTTGCGGCGAAGCTTTATCATTGGGCGGCGGGCGTGAGGTATGCGCTTGATCATCCGGAGCTTTTTGGGAAGGTGGGTGGGGGGACGTAGGGTGTTGGTGGGTTTGTGAGTGGATGAGAGGGGGGACTGTGGTATTGTGGTCAGCGCGGTGTGGGATCTCGTTGAAGCTGCGAGATCAACTTTCCCTAGGGCAACAAAACACCCTTTTGGATTCGATCGCTGGCTATAGCTGTGAGATGAAGCTACTAATAGATGAAGCTACCAAGAAATAGATCATTTCTGCGTACAGAGAGAGAATGAGGTGTATCTTAGTCCTACTGATGTATTTCCAAAGACAAAAAAAGGAAATAACATATTACATGATGTATGTGAGAGACAGCTCCTTCACATATAATCCTCATATCGGTTTCACACCTGGATCTTCGTTTAGTTGACCGATCAATTCAACGTCTATTCCGCGAAGAAGCTTTTCCCACACTGCGCAGGTTCTATATACACACCACTCCAATGCATTCCATACCAATCCATTCCATTATCGTAGCAATATCGCATTTCCCGCGCCTCTCCACCCCCAACACCCAAACCAGCGAAACCCACACCCTACCGCCCCGCCTTCTCCTCATCAACCGCCCTCCTCAACTCATCAAGCGCCTCCTTCCTCCTCTCCAGATGACTCTGCAGCCCCTCAACCTGCTCGCGCACCGTCTCAATCTCCTCCCTAATACCGCCCAGCCCCTTGACCGCCCCGCCCTCATCATTATCCAACTCCTTCAGCGTACTACGCTTGTAATCAAGAAGCATCTCCAGCTCCCTCTTCACCAGCGCGGGCTTACTGTCTTTACTCCTGCCATGCCGCCTATTGAGCGCCTCCTTCTCGACGTCCGCCATCTTTGTCTCCAAATCCTTGAGCTGTTTCTTAAGCCGGACTTCCTCCCAGTCTTCTGTTGTGCGGCCGCCAAAGTCGGTGCCCTTTGCGCGCGCGCCGTAGTTTGCCGCGCGGTCGCCGACGCCCAGGCGCGTGAGGTATGCGTCGCCGAACTTTGCCTTGCGGCCTGTGGTTGTTGTCTCGTCGCCGCGCTCGGCCCAGCGCTTGTTGCCTGACCCCTCGATGTCGTAGTCGATGTGGGCTTTCTCGAAGCTCGCGCGTAGACTCGGGGGCACGCTTCGGGGCACGCGGAAGCCCTCGCTGCGCTGGTTCAGCACGTGCAGGAAGGCGAGGCAGGCGTCCTTGCCCACGCTCTCCCGGGCCTTGGGGTTCACCAGGTTCCATGCGAAGCGCACGTCTGAGTCGGGCACCGAGTCGAGGCTGTCGAACAGGCCGGAGAGCGCGTCGAAGGCGATGTTGCCGTGTGAGTCGCGGTTCGCAGTGTATATCTCCTCGTACTTTGATTTGTCGCCGGGGGACATGTACCAGTCGAAGCCGTCGCGCAGGCCGGGCGTGTCATCTTCGTCGTCGTCGAGGGGCGCGAAAGAGGGCTGGGAGCCGGAGAGGGCACGGGTTGCTTGGACGAGGTGGGCTTTTGATTCGGGGACCAGCCAGTCGGGGAGCGTCTTGGGCACGTCGGCGGATATCTGGGGCGCAATCGTTAGCATTCAGCCCAGCAGCAGAAGGCTACGTTGACCACCACGCACCCCGTTGATCAGATCAAAGATAATCCTCATGGCCACGCAAAACTCCTCAAAGTCCAGCTTCCCGTCCCCGTCCACATCAGCAAGATCCCATACGCGCTCGAGCTGGTCATCCCGGAGGTGGCTGTTCTTGAGCACGGGGGCTGCCTGTGCGCCATCAAGGTGCGTGCCGCCGCCGGACAGGGAGGTGAAGATCTCCCAGTATTTCTCGATTTCGTCTTGTTCGATGCGATTGGGCGGCATTGTGAGGTGTGAGGAGAGTTGGTCGGGGTGGTTATGGGGAAGGGAGATCGGGACTCGACGTCGGAACAGCGGAGCTCCATGGCAGCTTGACGCGAGCTGGGGTGCCAAGGTGACGCACGTTTACTTATTTCACTCTCAGCACATAATACACCCAGGGGAAATCATCAAAGACCGACAAGTGCAAGTGTACGTGTATTCAATCCATCGCATTATCGCTACAATTTCGACTAAATCTCTACGAGGCCAAACATGTCCCGAAGCGCCTGACCCAGCAACTCACCCGTTGCAAAGGTCCCAAACTCCAAAGTTTTCCACAATATTGCGCCAAATGCGAGAGAATGATTGAAAATATAAATAGCGGGACTTGTAACATCTCAAAGCAAAGCTGAAGGGTGACCAGACATGTCAAAATATACAATCAACACCACCAATGCAACAAACCGAAGAACCGTACCGCACAGCCCGTCTAACCCATAGAAGCAAGTTGGTTGTCGATGGTCTGGTTAAGGAAGATCTTCCTCTCACCAGTAAGCTGCACCTGAAGTCGCTGCTCCGCGAGCGCAACAAGCTGCTTCTTAGTCAGGCGATCGAGATCAGCCTCACCAAGACACTGCTGTACCACTTCGACAATGGTCGCATCGCTGGGTCCGTTCATCATGTTCTGGAAGTTGACGGTGCTGCCAGGACGTGACTGCGTGTAACCAAGTGGGCTGCGTCCGCGAATAGGTGGCGTCGACGTCATGAGGTTGTCCGAGCTCTGGAAGCCACCAACGTTCGATCGGGCTCCATATGGCGAAGTATTGTAGTGATCACTCATTCCTCCCATGGACATGAGACGACTGTCGTGTGGGTTGTCTTGGTAGCGGGTGAGGTTCGAGTACGTCGACTGGCGAGCTTGCATTCCCTGGTATGGGCCTGGCGATCGGGGTGGCATGTGAGAGATGTGATGCATGTTGGACATGATTGTCGAGGCTGGCTTGACCGACGAGTAGACGGATTGCATGTCGTTCATCTCGTAAGCCTCGTCCTCGTATGCGCTGAAGCCGCCCTTCTCCGAAGTCTGGCCAGGGAGACCGCGACGCCCAGGAAGGTCATTGCGCTCCGCATAATCGTCCCAGCGCATCATAGGAATAGACTTTGGATCAAAGCCTTCATCGTCCGTCATCACCGCCTTTTTGTTACCCTTTTCTTCAATAACCACACGTGTGTTACCCCATGAGAAGTCATCCTGTTTCCAGAAGGAGTAAACCGGTAGAATCAAGTTCTGAATCGGGAACGCCAGGAGGTAAATGATCATCCAGCCGATGTGCTGCCACTGCCGCTTGATGATAAAGATGAGAGCTTGGAGACCATAGACAGCGGCAAGCATAACGATCGAGAACAGCGGGAATTGGCCCTTTCCAGACGAAACCGTGTAGATCAGATATACGAGGTATGCGCAGATAGATGGCAGACAGAGGGTTCCGAAAAGATCGATAAAGACAATGAAGCGCATGGAAAAGCAGCAGAAACCGCAAAGGTCCTTGAGAAAGACGAGTTCAGCTAGGTTGTGGATGGTGGAGTTGATCCATCGGCGTCTCTGGGAAAGCAGGATACTCCATGACTCGGGAGCAGCTGTAAGCGCATATGCATCCGGGATGAACTTGTACGACATCTTGGGGAAGTGCTTCGTCATCAAGGTTGTCAAGTAACGATCCTCACCAAGGGAGAGTAGGTTCTTCTTGTGCAATGTGTCTATAGCACAGTCGGCATATTCCTTGATGACGATATCTGCGATAATGAGAGGCTTGCCCTTGTCGGCTGTTCGCAAGCGATACATGCAGAAACTAGACTGATCAGCAAAAGTACGGACAAGGAGGCGGGGAACTTACCATCCGGGCAAGCAGGTGACACTGCCGAACAAACTCTCGAAAGCCTTTGCCAAATGATGGGAAATGTAGTATTCGTAGACTTGGATCATAGTCCACCAAGACTTGCCCTCATTCTCCAAACTGGTTTCGCCACAGATACCGGCAATCTTGGAGTCGCTGGCGCAGCTTGCCACGAGACGGTTCAGAGAATCAGGCCTGACCATGGTATCGGCATCGACCATAAGAAGATACTCGTAAAGTTCGGGGTCCACACCGATGATGTTGTTGATCTGATGGAACATTTCCAACTCCAGAGGGTTCATGGCTGAGCGGAAGTGAACACGATTGAGGAAGCTCATAAGCAAGATCTGAGAGTCACGTTTTCCTCGGTTACCAGGCTTGGACTTGTGTTGTTCGGACTCTTTGCCCATCTTGACAACAACAAGATACGGAACCACGTTGCCCTCGAACTCATACAAACCTGAGTAGACTTTTCCGTAATTGAGTTGTTCGCTTCCCTCACCAACGGACCAGAACGGGAGGGCAGGAGGATCGACCTTGGGGTCCACGCCGAGGATATCCAGCACAATCTTGGGTGTGGGACGGTCGTTGCCGCCACCGACAATCATTCCGTCACAGATGACACAGATAAGTTTGCGTTTGTTGTCGTAGGCAAGTGCAGTCAGAGAATCAAGACCCTTTCGGATATGATCCTCACCTTCGGTGTAGGCAGGCACCTGGCAGATGACAAACTTATCTTGGTTTGCTGGGCGCTTCTTCGAACCCAGCTGAAGCGCAGCCAAGAACTTGATGACAATGACGGAGCATAGCATGATGGTGAAAGTGAGCAGAATGTAGTCATTGACTTTGCACTTGGCGGTGTCGCGGAAGTCCGTTTTGCCAATGTAGAACACATTATCCAAACATTGAAGGTTGTAGGCCTGGGCGGTAGTATTCAACTTGTTTTTGAAGTCGTTGGAAAGATCTGTGCCGGCGTTGCTCTGTACCAGATCGACCAAAGTATCGTCGAGGAACTGATACTCCTCGAGGTTGTTCATAGTGTCCAGTGTCTTGAAGTAGTCCGTCAGGTCGTAAACCTTTTCACCAAGGTAGAACCACATATGGTTCTCATCCGCGCCTTCGTTCTTGATGGTCGACGTCTTCCACACAAGATCTCCCTTTCTGAACTCGCGGATGGCAGGCAGAAAGACATTGGGATACCAGTCCTCCGCCGAAAGTGCGTCGCTGTCTGTTAATGTCGCAATACCACCAGACTTGTGCTCAGCCTGCGAAACGTCGACAGTGGTATTGAAAGTCAACTGGAGTAGGCGGTTTCGGGCTGTATCGGTGATCAAGTTAGGGCACGCAAGGTAGAGCGGCGCTGGGATGTAAGGGTCCATATCGGCACCAGCCACCTCTAGCATGAGTTCGTTGGTAACTTCGAGATTCGAATCGCTGTGTTGCTTCCTCCAAAAGTGGGTGAGATCGTACACAATTCCATGGTGACTGACATAGAAGTCGTCCTCGCCCTGGTGTTGTGATACTTCTGTTCGACTCCAGACTTTGTCTTTGTTCGGACACAGAAGCTTGCCGAAACCGACAATGTAGAAGACAATGGCAGAGTTGAGCAGCAAGATGAGTAGGCATAGTACGAACTTTTCTCGCCATGCCATACGAACATCTGGTCGCTTCATACGGCCCAGAACCTTTAAAAGAGGCGAGGGAGCCCAGAAGGTTACAGCCCAGACAAACGCGACCCACATCCTACGAGTGAAGGTGATGGGCGTTTCGGTGACCATAAAGTTACCTCCTGTTTCTGCGTCGTAGTAGGATATGCCTTTTGTTTCATCTCCTTTACCACCAAGACCGTAATCACCACGACCTGGTACTGGAACAGTGGCTGTAGTGGGGGCTAACGATTTGGCGTCTGCAGCGGTAGGGGGAACCAGACTGGCCGTACTCTGGAAAGGATTTTGGACGGCCTGGGGAGCCATTTCAGGGATAGGTGGGAAGAAGCCGCTACTTGATGGTGCTTGAGTGGAGTAACCGCTTTCGATGCCAGCAGCTCCAATCATGTTTCCGAGCATATTCGGGGAACCACCAAGCTCATCCTTGTGATCGAGTTGAGATTCCACCTCCCACCATGTACCCTCTCGAATCCATACCCGCTCATGACCGACGATGACTTCGCCGTTGCTCCAGCCGCGCTGGAGAGTCCAATTTTGAATACCATCCTTGCCGTCCAGGCAGCCTAGCGCCTTGTAACGCTCATAGAATTCGTGATGGTCGAAATCGGCAGTGAAATCCAAAGCCCGATTGCGGCGGTTGGCCCACTCGTGGAGGCGCCACTCCCGAACTTGTCGAGACACAGCTCCCGTTAGCCATGTTGTGCTGGGATCTTGCTCGATTGAAGTAGGAATGACTTCAGTGGGATGGAGCGCAAGCTGGAACCAAACTCTGCTACTGGCTACAGTCATGGGTAAATCGAAACGACCATATTTCCCGAGTTCTATACCGCGGCCTTGCACGGGGTAGAGCAGTTGCTTGACGAAATGGTCATCATCGGGAAGATCCAATGCAAGTTTGTCGAGTATAGCCTCGCGCTTCTCGAGATCTGCATCCCTCGCATGCAGTGCTGGACTGTTGATACCGAGGTCAGCCTGACAATGTGTCAAGGCCTCTCGCATACTTTCAAGTACAGAGTTACTGGCTACGGCCACGGGTACTCCATCCTCTTTCATCTCGGAGTTGATGCCCTCGGAGTCATCAAACACGGTTCGGAGAGCAATGGCCTTGCCTAGAGCGCGATCGGGAATTTCTACAACCGTAATGTTGACGATATCACCAGCGTCGTCCTCGGTGTTTGGTGTCAACATGCCAGGGTGACCGGCGTCACTGTCGGTGGATGAGAATCCATTTCGAGCGTTTTGGATGTCGTTCTTGATGGTTGCGTTTGCGTGTGCGATCACATAGTCAACGATGGCCTCGTAGATCCCGCCAATGGCAATCTCACGCTCATTCGAGCCGAGCTTCGTCTGCAAGATCTCTGGGGAGATGTCCAGCAGGTTACCGCTATCCTGGCAGAATGAGGTCAAAGTCTCCTCGTCCATGAAATAGTCGACAGTATTGCCTAGCTTGAGCAATCCGGTGAGACAGCTGAGAAGGTTAAGCAGCTTGTGCCCTTTGATGCCGATAGCCTTGAGGTTGGCGCGGAAATCCTCGGCTGCCGCTGCATCGTCGACGTCGGGAAGGTATGCAGGAGGGTCATAGGTGCCGGACCGACTAAGTAGCGAGTATGTGCTGAGTGGCTGAATGTCCAAGAATTCTCTTTCCTGCCTGGTGGCGGTGCTGGAGTTCAAATAGTAGAAGACGTCGAATGCACGGAAGCCGGGGTGTGCGGGAACTTGTAGCAGGCCTTGCTTTACATCGAGTCCAGCGGTAGACAGCTTGATCTCGGCTCCCGAAAGGGTGCCGGTTCCTGTCACGATAGTGAAGACGGCAGCCAAGGCCGAATAGCGCGGGGCGGAGGGGTTGTGGGGCGTCACACACTGGGTGAAGGCCTTGAGGGCCTCGAGGGCTGTGTAAAAGTTGCCTGGAAGGGACAGGGGTAGGCTAGAGACAAAAGGCGAAAACAGCGAAGGCGTCGAGTCGTGCAGGGAACTGTGTGGGTTAGCGACGTGTGCATTTGCTGCCGTGAAGAGACGCAGAACTCACCCAAGCACGATGCAGCCGTCCTCAGCCCGTCGTCGCGCGTGCTCCCAGGCCTTGCGTCCCAGCTCCAAGTCGACGGTGCCGCCAATGCGATCGTTCACAAGGGTGCTCGCATTGGCCCAGGTGTTGACGACCAGACTGGTGCTGGCCTCGAGTGTGTATGGCTGGGCCTGCTTGTGGGCGACCTTGAGCGTGTTCAGCAGCGACTGGGCTGTGATCTGCGAGTTGACAGGACGAGACGCCGAAGCCGACGTCGTCGAGTAGACGGACATGCGCGAGTTGTTGACAAAACTCATGGTTGCGGGCGGAGGCTGTTCGCCCCTTCCTTGGGTAGAGGAGGTGTCCAACGAAGGAGGTGCAGCAGATGCAGGTCAGGAGCGAGTGTCTTCTCAGCTAATGGCTGTGAATTGGGTGAGGGTACGGTTGACGTGGAAACAGTGGCGCAACGCAGTCTCGAAACACTAAAGTCGCGGGGAAGGAGGGGTCCTAACGAGAGTATGGTATTAAACGACTGTAAGGAAGAAGAGAATCGCACAAGACGAGACAGCCCGTCAGACGAAGTTGGAGCAGCAATGGTGTTTGTTCGCCCAGGGCGACTTTCATTCCTCAGCGCGACGGGACCTGCGGCTAACGTCCCGGTTCGGTCTGGCGCAGCTGTAACAATAGGGAGGTTTGGGCACAGACATGGGATCACCACGAACTCTGTGCACTACCATCGTCGCCACTACAGCAGCCGGCGCCGCTCCGATTTGGATATTGGATAATCTGCGCGCTACGATGGCGGCGTGGCATCCTTCCGACCCCTATTTTTAGGCGGTACAGTGCTCAACGTCGGGGATGTTAGTTGCCAGTTCTCAACATTCACAAGGTCACCCTGCTTCTCATGCTGTGGCCTCGCTTCGTGTGTATGGCATACAAGCAGCACCGTGAGATGTACTCCAGTTGCGGTCGTGGGCTGGCGAAAGAAGCAGCCTGCATATCGTCATGTCCACTGGCGCTCCCCTTCATTTTGTCAATCAAATTGACTTTGGAGAATCGGGTTTGACAAGTCACGCTCAGGCGATTTGAAACCTTTTGGTCCAGGGTCTTGACGTCAAGCATTGGGAGCCCCTCTTCGGTGCAACTGTCAGAGGCGGCTTTCCAGAAGGAGGCTTGTCGTCTCCACTGCCCCATATCATGAGCTCCTGTGCTTTCGCCCCAGACGCTCGACAGCATGTCAAACCAATAACTTTTGTGACACAAACACGAGAACGTTCGAAGCTTTTTGGCTTACCAACGCCGAAAAAGCAAGGTCCCGTCTGCAGCAGCGTTGGGTCGCTCGTGTCCTTGACGGCATGGAACGCGCAATCGACAGCGTAGGGCAGCGTTGCCACTTGCATTGAAGTCATCGAGTATTACCCCAGAGCTCCGGGTACGGATGCGAGTACCGAGAGTATGCTCTACACGGGTCGGCTCTGAACAACAACACACTATGAGAGGCATTAAAGGAAAAACGATCGCTGTCGAGTTATGTAGGTATTATCTCTCTGCTGTGCTTGTGATCTGTGTGTGTGTGCACACAGTCAGGCGGGACGACAATGCTCGGCCTCATCGATCTTGAATCAGTGGAGCCGTAATGCATACGGATTACACCTTTTTAGCACCGTATTGAATCTATTTTTGAAGCCCCTTTTTCCCGTCCAGGTCTCCCCGTCAACACAGACCATGCGACGGACGAAGGCTGAGAGAACCAAACTAGCAGCCGCAGTAGCCCCGTCGTTTTGACAGACAGCACTCGACCCCCTACACTATCAACGGCCTCGACTTTACCTTTCTTTCGTTTGTATCCTTCTAGTACACTCGCTGATTGTAATTTTCTTGCGTGACTTGTCTGGCAGCTTGTTGCGCGCATTGCTCTTGAAACAGCTGCATTTCAATCGTCCCGCGTCTCCCGTCCATCACCAACAACGAAATACTCAACCGTCCCTCGACGTGCAACAGCCTCTGGGCGACCGACCTGCGCTTGCTTGACGCCCACACTCGTTCCACGCTCCCACAGGGACGCGCCTCCCGACCATGGCGTCCAACGTTCTCCAGCAGCCGTCACTGACTGCGCTGCCGCAGCACCAGCAGAACGAGAATGGCATCACATCAGCTCTGGCGAGCCGCTACCACGCACAGCTGCCCATCGCAACCCTCTCATCACACGCCTTGGTCGCCTTCAACACGTTCAAGGACGCCGGCCGTGGCGTGGATGGTGGCAAGGATGGAAGCGCACACCAGTTTTCAGAGGACCTTGTCCAGCGAGCCTACAACCGTCTTGGGCAGCGTTCCGAGGACCAGGCCATTGTGTTTTTGTACGTTGTATTGCATGGTGTGCTGGTGGCTGAACAGCGGGCTAACAATGTGCAGGGGCGAATCCGGTGCCGGAAAGACCACAATCCGCGGGCACATGTTGAGGTCGCTGCTTTCGTACTCTGCAACGCCGCTCTCCAAGAAGATCGAGCACGCCAACTTCGTCTTCGATGCCTTGACGACCGCAAAGTCTCTCACTACACCCATCGCCTCCAAATCCGGACTGCTGCTCGAACTCCAGTACAACACCTCCACCTCGCATCACGCCACTCTGCTTGGCGCGCAGTTCTTGGGACACCGTCTTGAACGCAGCAGAATTGCCTCTGTCCCCACTGGAGAGCGCAACTACCACGTCCTGTACTACCTCTTGGCTGGAACCAGCCCCGCCGAGAGAAAGCACCTCTATCTCGATGCGGCCGGAAGCGACACGGCAGGGAACCGCACATCACTCGGCGCGAATAAGAGGTGGCGCTACCTTGGCCATCCGACGCAGCTCAAAGTTGGTATCGATGACCCCAAGGGCTTCCAGGACTTCAAGGCGGCCCTGCGCAAGCTGGAGTTTGGCAGGGAGATGATTGCAGGCATCTGCGAGGTTTTGGCTACCATTCTCCACATCGGACAGCTCGAATTCGAGACCGGCCAGGACACAACACCGGGCGCCAACGACAGCGGCGGCTACTCGCACGAGGGTGGTGATTCCATCACCGTGGTCAGGAACAAGGATTGCCTGATTCCCATTGCTCAGTTCCTTGGTGTGAGCATCTCGGATCTGGAGCAAAGTCTGCGATACAAGTCCAAGACACTGTACCGAGAGCGTGTCACGGTCATGTTGGACCCCAAAGGTGCTCGTGCAAACGCAGACGAGCTCGCCCGAGCTCTCTACTCTTTGCTTGTCACATACATCATGGAGCAGATCAACTCGAGGATATCTGTTCTTCCCGACCAGGTTTCTAACACAGTTTCTCTGGTTGATTTCCCAGGTTTCGCTCCTTCTGCCGCCACGGGCTCGTCCCTGGATCAACTGCTCAACAACGCCGCCAATGAGTCCCTTATCCACTTTTGCCAAGAGAGTTTTTTCAAGCGCCAGATGCAAGAGATGGAGGCTGAAGATATTAGTATACCGCCGATGAACTTCTTCGACAACACTGAAGCGAAGAATGGTATGTTGAAGTCTGGAAACGGGCTTCTGAGCATTCTCGACGACCAGATGCGTCGCGGCAAATCTGATATGCAATTCCTGGATGCAATCAGGAGACGTTTCGATGGAAAGAACTCGTCCATTTTGCCAGGAAGCCTGACCGTTGTCCAGCCGGGTAGCAACTTCCCGACCCCCAACACCTCTACGTCGTTCACTATTAGACACTATGGTGGTGATGTTGACTACAGTGTGGACGGTATTCTTGAGGAAAATGCGGAACTTATCTCGGGTGACATGATGCACATCTTGAAGTCTGCTCAGGCCTCTTTCGTCGAGCAATTGTTCGAACAGGAAGCTCTTCACAAGATCTCCCATCCGAAGGAGAAGACTGCAATCGTGCAAGCATCTGTCAGCTCCAAGCCATCAAGGATGCCTAGCATGGCACGGCGTGGGGCGGAGAAGACTGGGAGATTTGGCCGTCAACTCAACGTCTTCGATGATGACGGCATCAGTGACACCGAGAGCAATGTCTCTAGCTCGCAAAAGGGTGGACAGTCATCCACGAAGCAAACGGGTGCTGCTGCTCAATATGTCAGTGCGTTGAAGACCATCGAGTCGTCTATGCGCAAGGCCAACCCCTACTACGTTTTCTGCTTGAAGCCCAATGATCGACGAATTGCCAACCAGTTTGACGTCAAGTGTGTTCGGACTCAGATTCAAGCTCTGGGCATCGCAGAGATTAGCAATCGCCTCCGTGCTGCCGACTACAGCATCTTCATGCCCTTCGCTGAGTTCCTTGGTCTGGCTCAGGCTGACACCGCCATTGTAGGGAGTGAAAGGGAGAAGGCAGAGATGATCTTGGACAGCAAGCCGTGGCGGGAAAACGAAATCCGTGTTGGTGCAACTGGCGTTTTTCTCAGTGAAAGATGCTGGCTTGAGATTGCCAATATCACAGACCTGACTCCTGCTCGCGGCTTCACAGGCTCCGACGACAACTTACTAACGCCAGATGCCAATCGATCATTCGGCGATTCGCGAGCTGGACTTCTCTCGCCGGCGCCGGGCGACTTTTACAACGACAAGAGCGGTGCTTACTTTGGAAGCAAAGACGTTGATGCCCGCTCAGAAGCGCCATCAGGGATCACTGGTGATATGTTCCATGGAGTTGGGCAACACGATGTGGTCGACGAGAAAGCTGCCGAGAAAAACATGGAAGAAGTTGATGTGTTGCCAGTTGAAGCAAGCCGAAAGCGATGGATGTTCATCGTCTATGCATTCACTTGGTTCATTCCCGACTTCCTCATCCGGGTTGTTGGACGGATAAAACGCAAGGATGTGCGCATTGCGTGGCGTGAGAAATTGGCCATTAACATGATCATTTGGCTTAGTTGTGCCTTGGTCGTCTTCATCATGAGTCAGTCTGTCTTTCCTTTTTGAACAGAGTAATTGCTGACGAACCACAGTCGGGTTCCCCATGTTGATTTGCCCGAAACAGAATGTGTTCTCTTCTGCTGAGCTCACTTCTCACGACGGAGTGGGCGACAACAACGCGTATATTGCCATTCGAGGATATGTCTTCGATCTCAATAGCTTCATGCCGCATCATTACCCAAGTATCGTCCCTCAGAAAAGCCTCCTCAAGTACGCCGGTACAGACGCTACCAACTTGTTCCCAATCCAAGTTTCTGCGCTGTGCAATGGAGTTGACGGCGCGATCCATCCTGGTGTTTCCCTCAATTACAAGACCTCCAACTACTCGTCAACCGTCTCAAACGTTATCAGTACTACTGATAATAACGCCCAGTTCCATGACTTCCGTTGGTTCACGAACGATTCTCGCCCGGACTGGTGGCTCGAGCAACAAACATTCCTCAAGTCTAACTACATGAAGGGCAAGATCGGATACACGCCACAATATCTGAAAACTCTAGCCAAAAAGGGCAACTCTATTGCTTACTTGGACAATAAAGTATTCGATTTGAGCGAATACATTGTTGGAGGGCGAGAAGTCAAATATCCCACCAACGACGATACAAAGTCAGATATAACTCCCAACACCAACTTCATGGATACCAACGTTGTTTCTATCTTCCAGTACCAATCTGGAAAAGACATTCGCAAATACTGGGATAACCTCAATCTGGATGTCGCCAAAAAGCAAGACATGCTGACCTGCCTCGAACGCCTTTTCTATGTCGGTGATTTGGATACCAGGAATTCGACCAAGTGTCAATTTTCCACATACTTCCTTCTCGCGTTGTCCATCCTCATGGTCAGTATCATTGGTGTCAAATTCCTCGCCGCCCTTCAGTTCTCCAGGAAGACTCTCCCCGAAAACATTGACAAGTTTATTATTTGCACGATTCCTGCCTACACTGAGGATGAGGATTCACTTCGCCGTGCTATCGATTCCGCAGCTAGGATGAAGTACGATGACAAGCGCAAACTACTTCTCATCGTTTGCGACGGCATGATTATTGGGCAAGGTAACGACAAACCGACTCCTCGCATCGTTCTCGACATTCTCGGTGTTCCAGAAGCTACCGACCCAGACCCGCTGAGCTTTGAAAGTCTGGGTGAGGGTCAACGTCAGCACAACATGGGCAAATGCTACTCCGGTCTTTACGAGGTTCAGGGTCACATTGTGCCTTTCCTGGTTGTTGTCAAGGTCGGTAAGCCTTCAGAGGTTTCCAAGCCTGGTAATCGAGGCAAGCGCGACTCCCAGATTATTCTCATGAGGTTCTTGAACCGCGTACACTACAACCTTCCCATGAGTCCCCTCGAGCTTGAGATGCATCACCAGATTCGAAACATTATCGGTGTCAACCCAACCTTCTACGAGTTCCTCCTACAAATTGATGCCGATACGGTTGTCGCGCCCGATGCAGCCACTCGATTCGTCGCCGCCTTCCTTCACGATACCCGCCTGCTTGCTATTTGCGGAGAGACAGCGCTCGAGAACGCCAAATCTTCGTTCGTTACCATGATGCAGGTGTACGAGTACTACATTTCGCACAATCTGACAAAGGCTTTCGAAAGTCTTTTCGGATCAGTCACCTGTCTTCCCGGATGTTTCACCATGTATCGTATCCGTGCAGCCGAGACTGGAAAGCCTCTCTTCGTCAGCAAAGAAGTAGTGGAAGCCTATGAGGTTGTCCGGGTCGATACTCTCCACGACAAAAACTTGCTGCATCTGGGAGAAGATCGTTACCTCACGACTCTGCTCCTCAAATATCACCAGAAGTACAAGACCAAGTACACGATGCGAGCAAAGGCCTGGACTGTGGCGCCCGACAGCTGGGCAGTCTTCATGTCGCAGCGTCGTCGCTGGATTAACTCGACAGTGCACAATCTTGTCGAACTGATTCCGTTGCAACAGCTTTGCGGTTTCTGCTGCTTCAGCATGCGCTTTATCGTGTTCATTGATTTGGTATCGACTGTCGTTCAGCCTGTCATCCTGGTTTACATTGGTTACCTCGTCTATCTTCTAGTGTGGAGCGACAGCGTCGTTCCCGTCACGGCGTTCATCATGCTGGGAGCTATTTACGGTCTACAGGCAATCATCTTCATTATTCGTCGCAAGTGGGAAATGCTCGGATGGATGATCATCTACATCCTCGCCACTCCTGTCTTTGCTTTCGCGCTCCCCTTGTACTCTTTCTGGCACATGGACGATTTCTCCTGGGGCAACACTCGTGTTGTTACTGGAGAGACAGGCCAGAAGGTTGTCGTTTCCGACGAAGGCAAGTTTGACCCTGCAAGTATTCCGAAGAAGAGGTGGGAGGAGTACCAAGCGGAGATGTGGGAACAGCACACCATCAGAGATGATCGCTCCGAGGTATCTGGCTTCACCTATGCCACCAGGAAACCCTACGCAACTGCCTCAGTGGCTGGGTCAGAGTATGGAGGCATGGCACCGTCACGTGCTATGTCGCACCTTGACCCTATGCGTTACGGTAACCAGTCGCGGATCAGCCTAGCCCCGAGCGGGTACGGTTATAACGACAGCATGGAGATGGCCAACCTGCCTAGTGACGATCAACTCCTGAACCAGATCAAGGTGATTCTTGGAAGCTCAGACCTCATGACTGTCACCAAGAAGTCTGTCAAGGTTGACTTGGAAGCTTAGTAAGTTTTACCTAATCTCTTCAAGATGATACACGTTACTAACAAATCTTCAGCTTCCAATGTGATCTTTCGCTCAAGAAGCAATTCATCGGTCAGTCCGTCGAACATTTGCTTTCGCAAGGATGAGGAGACATCAGTGAAGGCCCCTCCTTTGGCCTCTGGACAAGATTCACACGTTGTTCTAGCACTCGTTCATGCCGTCGTCTCTTGAGATGGGGACGAGTGTGTCTTCCATGTTTATCACTATTTAATCCGCTCTTGTTGTCGTAGCATGTTTCCGTATTGGTCAAGGCGCATTCAATTTTATACTGGCGTTCTGAGTTGGGGAATTCATACGGATCTTGGTGAGAGTAGCAAGCTTGCATCTACTCGTTGCGTTTTCGTGTATTGCATGGGACAAAATCATCGGTTTAGAATTAGGTCATTGATTTGACAAGAATAGCTATGAATTCGATTACATAGCATTACTTGAATCTCTATTTCTCGTCTAGTTCATCGACAGACTCCATGAGTTGGAGTCTTGTGTACTTCTTAGTTTTGATTCGTCCAACATGTTGCCTTCCTCACTGCGCTTCAAAAGTATGAGGTCTTGGCACCCCCACCATCAACGAACGCCACGCGGGAACTATGGCGGCTTGAATTTCGACAACTTGTGTGCGTTTGTCCGACATCCACGACATCCGTCACTTTCTTGCTGGATCGAGGCCTTTGTTGGCTCAGCTTTGACTCACGCGGCTTTACTGGCTAGTTTCGCATACTGCGCCTGCGACTGTTGACTCTTATTCGGTCCATTTCACTTGCACGACCCCGCCACTCCGTTCCTCCACACCCGGTAGATTCATAACATCTCCGACGTAACACACGACATTCACTATGGGGCCAAAGAAAGGAAAGAAGAAGGTCCAGGACGACGACTGGGAGGCCGAGCTCGGCGAATCCATTGCGCCGCAAGATGCCACTGCAGAGCCCGCGGCGGACGAAGCTGCTCCCGAAGATGAATCCATGGGTGGCGGCCTCATGGCTGCTCTCCAGCGACGTGGCAAGAAGAAGAACAAGAAGGGCGCGAACACTGAAGTAGAAGGCGAGGATCCTCCGGTCGAGAACGCGGACTTGGACCTTGAGAGCAAGGCTCCACAAGAGGGCACCTTTGACGATGAGGATGAGGATGTCTTTGCTGGCAACTACGGCAAGAAGAAGGGCAAGGGCGGTGCTGCTGCTGCGAAGGCGGAGGAACCCAAGGAAGAGCAGACAGACGATGCGCCGCGGGTCAAGACCAAGGCGGAGAAGGAAAAGGAGAAGAAGGAGAAGGAGAAGCAGCGCAAGAAGGAGCTGGTATGTGCTGCACACGTCCTCGCGGCTCCATAGTGTTGTGGTGTGATGGCTGATAATCAACCGTTCTAGGCTGCAAAGAAGAAGGGTAGTGCTCCTGCAAAGGCTGAGCCCGCCGCCGCATCGACGCCTGCACCCGTTGCTGAAGCATCAGCTCCTGCACCTGCTGAGCCTGCTGCAGGTGGCAAGAAGAAGAAGGTTAGCGCTGCCCTCGCTGCGCTCCAGAAACAACAAGAGGAGCGAAAGAAGATGGAAGAGGAAGCAGCACGTCTCGCTGCTGAAGAGAGGGCTAAAATCGAGGCTGAGGAGAGAGAGTTTGCCGAAGAAGCCAAGCGGAAAGAAGAAGCAAAGTCATTGAAGAAGCAGAGAGAAAAGGAGAAGATTGAGCAGATGAAGAAAGAAGGCAAATACCTGACCAAGGCCCAGAAAGAAGCAAAGGCAAAGAACGAACTCCGGCTGAAGCAACTCCTCGAGAGCGGTAACGCGACGGTTGCAGCGTTTGACGACGACGCCGAGGAGAAGAAGAAGCCAAAGTACGATGATCGCAAAAAGAGGAAGAAGCAGGCCCAGGAGCAGAAGGAGAAGGAGGCCCGCGAAGCTGAAGAAGCTGCAAAGAAACTCGAGGAGCTCAAGATATCTGAGCAAGCTGCTGCCCTCGCTGCCGAAGCAGAGAAAGCCAGGCTGAACGCTGAGGAGAAGAAGGGCGAGGGCGAAGTCTCTGGCGACGATTGGGAAGCTCAGGCCGACGATTTGGAGGGCGTCAAAGACAGCTGGGATGTCGACACAGATGAAGAGGAGGAGCGGAAAGCATCGGAGAAAAAGGCGAAGGACACCAAAGCAGCAGAGGAGGCAGCAGCTGCTGCAGCCAAGGATGAAGACGAGGACTCTGACTCTGACTCCGAGGACGACAGCGAAGACGATTCTTCAGAGGACGAGCAGGGTACTGCTACACAGCGAGCTGAGGCTGCCCGCAAGGCTGCCGCTGCCGAGCGACGGAAGCAGGCCCACGAAGAAGCTATGGCAGCACGTTCGAAAGACAATCTGCGATCTCCTATTTGCTGTATTCTTGGTCACGTCGATACCGGCAAAACGAAGCTGCTCGACAAGATCCGACAGACCAACGTGCAAGAAGGCGAAGCTGGAGGTATCACGCAGCAGATTGGTGCCACTTACTTCCCAGTCGAAGCTCTCCAGAAAAAGACTGCGGTTGTCAACCAGGACAACTCTTTCGTTTTCAACGTTCCTGGTCTTCTCATCATCGACACACCTGGTCACGAGTCCTTTACTAATCTCCGATCGCGAGGTTCGTCACTTTGCAACATCGCTATCTTGGTCATCGATATCATGCACGGCCTCGAGCCTCAAACTATCGAGTCGATGAAGCTGCTTCGAGACCGGAAGACGCCCTTCATTGTCGCTCTCAACAAGATCGATCGTCTGTTTGGGTGGAAGAAGATTGACAACAACGGCTTCGAGGACAGTTTCCAGCTTCAGAAGGCGGCAGTTCAGGCCGAATTCGAGGAGCGATGGACATTTGTGCGTACCCAGCTGGCCGAGCAGGGATTCAACTCGGAGTTGTTCCACAAGAACAAGAACATGTCCAAGTATGTCTCCGTATGCCCGACGTCTGCGCATACTGGTGAAGGTATCCCAGACATGATCAAGCTCATTGTCAAGCTTACCCAAGAACGCCTGACCAACAACCTCATGTATCTGTCTGAAGTCGAGTGCACGGTGCTTGAAGTCAAGGTCATTGAAGGTCTCGGTACGACGATCGATGTCATCCTCAACAACGGTGTTCTCCACGAAGGTGATCGCATAGTACTCTGCGGTAACCCGGAGCCCATCGTAACCAATATCCGAGCACTTCTCACTCCCGCTGAGATGAAGGAACTCCGAGTCAAGTCTCAGTACGTGCACAACAAGGAGGTCAAGGCAGCTATGGGTATCAAGATCGCCGCCGACGGTCTGGACCACGCCATCGCCGGTTCGCGATTGCTAGTTGTTGGTCCCAACGACGATGAGGAAGATCTTATGGATGAAGTGATGGGTGATCTGGCACATCTGCTGAGCAAGGTGTCCAAGACTGGCCGTGGTGTGTCGGTCCAGGCCTCGACACTCGGTTCTCTCGAAGCCTTGCTCGAGTTCCTGCGCGTCTCCAAGATTCCTGTATCCACCATCTCCATCGGCCCTGTTTTCAAGAAGGATGTCCTGCGCGCAGGTGTCATGCTGGAAAAAGCCAAGGAGTTTGCCGTCATGTTGTGCTTCGATGTCAAGGTCGACAAGGATGCCAAGGCGTATGCTGAGGAGATTGGCGTCAAGATCTTCGAAGCTGACATTATCTACCACTTGTTTGACAAGTTCACAGCGCACATGAAGACGCTGGAGGAGCAGAGGAAGGAAGAGTCGAAGATGTTGGCAGTGTTCCCCTGCATTCTGCGGCCAGTCGCCGTCTTCAACAAGAAGGACCCCATCGTCGTTGGTGTGGATGTTGTCGAGGGCAACCTCAAAATGACAACGCCCATCTGCGCAATCAAGAAGAACCCCGTCACCGGCGTCAAGGAGATTGTCAATCTCGGGAGAGTGTAAGTCGCCTTTCCCCAGCCACTTACTTCATGCTAACCACCCCACAGCACATCCATCGAACGCGACCACAAGCAAATCCAAGTCTGCAAGCGCGGCCAACCCTCCGTCGCCGTCAAGATCGAAGGCCCCAACCAGCCCATGTACGGCCGCCACCTGGAAGAAAACGACACACTGTACTCGGCCATCAGCAGGAAGAGCATCGACACGCTCAAGGAGTTCTTCCGGAACGATGTCAGCCAGGACGAGTGGAAGCTCATCATGGAGCTGAAGAAGCTGTTTGATATCGTTTGAGAGCGGGGGTGACTGTGTATGTATGTTTAGGGTGGGTGGGGGGTTGTTTTGGGGGCGTTCAAAGCATGGTTTGGCGTTTGTTGGCGGGACTTTTACTCGGGTGGTGGGTGTATGGAGAGACAAAAGTCGGTTTCGCGTAGGTTGGTAGACTGTATGCATTTTTGCCTTTACTTGAGATTGATCTAGTCTTCGGCTTTGTCAAACGCCTTGTTCCATTCTAGTTTCTCATCCTCCTTACATCCGCCCGAGTTTACTAAGAGCATCTCATCACAACCCATAACGACCGCAATCCACAACGCTCTCCAAGTAGCAGTGACCCCGCCACCGAAACCATGCCGCTCTGCCCCCTAGCCATCAACCGCAACCCACTCGTCTCCCTCCCAAGAAAACGCGACGAGAATAATCCTTCCCTGTGGTGGCTCGCAAGGCGAGACGATATCTGCCCATCGAATCTCGCAAGGATCCCCACCCCACCTCACCATCCTATCCACGCACCGTCACTAATCCTCAGCCCTACAGTGCTACCAAGGCGAAGTGCGTGCGGAATTGGCGTTTAATACGAGTAAAACTTGTAAATGTCCCACCCCGTCCTGCTTCACCGCACACCCTTGCCCATCAACATGCTCAGTCCTACGTGCGGGAACGGCGCGGCGGCGGACCAGGTTTGCGGGCTGGAGGGGCTTCTCTGGTGGTGCGTTGGGGAGGTCGAGGTGGTGAGGAGGGGGTGGAGTTCGGTGAGTGGTGATGAGGATGAGGATGATGATGGGCGGGTGGATGTCGATGATGAACGGGTTGATGATGTCGATGATGAGGATGAGGATGTCGAGCGGCGATGTTGCGCGTGAGATTGAGACTGAGACTGAGACTGAGACTGAGGAGATGGAGAGGAGAGTAGACGCGGGAAGAGGGCGTGGACGATTTGGAGAGACATGGCGGTGGACATGTTGAGTTGAGAGGTGAGGGTTGGTTGTGAGTGTATGTGAGTTGAGTTGCGAGTGAGTTGTAGTTGTGTTGATCGTGATTGCCCGTGTAGTAAATCGCGAGCAAATATCAAAGACTCGATAAACAAGTGAAAGCTCTCGTTAAACAGATACTCAAACGATGATGATAATCACAACCATCCTACACGTAGATATATATCCCAACCCACAGCACACCATCCTGGAGCCTGACTGACAAACTGACAGACTCACCGACACCCCACAGCCATACTCCCCCACCAAACCAAGCGCGAGGCTCAGTCCATCCCAGTCATCGTGAGTCTTGCACACTCCACGACGAAGCGGAAATGCGTGCTTGAGACTGGCCAGCTCGTACATCCAGGGCGCAGCACGGCGCACGGCAGACAAGCCACCGTGCGGAAAGCCGATGGAGCACCGACCGTACCACACGCTGACTCCCTTCCCAGGCTCCGCGTATCATCGACAGTTTATTCCCGCCCTCACGATATCCGCACGGAAAGCCCAACCCCGCAATGGCCCGTGCGGTAATCCCACCCCCATCTCACCACCACGCAAAAACCTCGCCCAACCCGCAAAAACATACGGCCAGCCGGCAAAAACCATATGTTGGAAGCTGTGGGGTTCGAACCCACGCACATCGCTGTAGTAGTGTTTGTCCCAAGCCGCAGAGCTTAAAACTACCGCCTTAACCACTCGGCCAAACTTCCGTGGGTGTAATCTGGGCTTTTTGCGGCGGCGTTGCTTTATCAAGGTTGGAGAGGGTGGGAGGGAGAGGTGGCGCGTTGTTCCGGGGATGAGGAGATGGGGTTGAGGTTTGGGAGGATGGTGGTGGGATGTTAGGCGTCGGGTAGGTGGAGCGTTGTGCGTTGGGTGAGATGAGGAATACCATGTTGTTAGGCGAATTGAGGATACACATGTACCTTTTCCCCGGAGCTATGCGTGGATTTAAACATATCCTTCATGTTTATTATAAGATAGAAGAAATTCACCATATCCAGCCATCCATCACCTAGGCAGTAATATACCCCTCTCCAAGGAACCGCAGACAACGCCCCCTCCTCTCACACTCCCCAACACCTCGTCAACCACTACCACCCAGTGTTCTGTAAATCCTATTCATAGTCCTTTATTCTTTCCGTCAGTCTATTTCCTGCTAAACATCCCAGGATGTTAATTGGGAACCCAAGGATCGAGGTATGAAAGTTCTACACATCCAAATGTCAAGCTATTGAGATATTGTGATGAGGGTTCACACAGGTGTAAGAACGCGTCAGAGTTAAGGCATGTATATTTGATGGAGTCTGGCTGCCTCTGTTGGATGGTGGTGGTGTAATTGTTAAACGTGTGCTTTGCGGGTATGATTGGTGGATGGGAGGTATGTTTAGATTGTGTGTGGAAGTGGTGAAGGGGATGCGACAATGAGCTGGGACTGGGAAAGATGGAGAAAGGAGACCTGAGATAGGACGGCAAGAGAACAATATACAAGCAGTAGGAGCTAGGAGAGCACAAGCGTCATTCATTCATACATATATTTATACATACATACACACCCTCTACCGCCCACCAGAACGCCCACTCCCTCTAAAACAAACACCCTACGCAGACCTACCCGGGCTATACAGATACCTCTCCTGCAAGCGATCGTTAGTCCGAGGCATCGTCTCAATAGCACGGACCGTCAACGGCGCCTTCTCCTCAAGCATTTCCTTCATCCACTGCTCCGTCACAGGATCAAAGCCCACGCCCATACTCTCGTCCCGCCTTACGTCGCTAAACGCCGACGCAAGCACAACCAGCGTCTTGTACCGCGGCAGCACGGCCGTGCGCGTAATGTCGTAGTGGCGCAGCTCCATCCACTGGTATCCCTGGCGCTCGTTGCGGATGTAGTGGGGCACGAGTTCGCGCCAGCCGGGGAAGCGCGGCATGAGGTACAGTTCGCAGACGCTGAAGGCCATGGTAAGATGGCCGGTGAGGGCGAGATGCTGGACGAATTCGTTCCAGGTGAAATTGTCGACGACGAAGCCGTTGATGAGCAGGTCGCGGATCGTGCGCTGAGCCTGCTGTGTATCTTCGATGCCGCCTTGCTTCACGAGACTGCGTATGTATATTTGTGTGGCTTTTGTGAGGAGATGGCGACGGTTGGCCGCAATGTGGGATGTCTGGAAGCGCTCTATGACTGCGGCGTCGACGAGCGAGTCGGACTCTGGTGGTGGCGGCGCGGGATGCAGAGCTTGGTGGAAGGTTTTGACGAGCTTATCGGCTTGCAAGCGAGCTAGGTCCCAGCACTTCGCTATCTCTGCGTGTTCGCCGGCTTTGAGGTGGGCATCCATGATTGCTGTGAGAAGGGTGAGTGGGGAGTGGTAGTTGTCCTCGTTGGCTCCCACCGCTTCTGCCTCGCGGAAGAGGTCCTGACAGATTTTGTACGCTCCACGAGTGTTGTAGAGCGTTATTAGAAGACCATAGTAGGACTCGGGAACAGCCAGGTGTCCGTGCTGATCGAGTTGCCGCAAATGACGAGGCTGTCTGTGAGCAATCTCTCTGCCACCACCAAGGAAGAGCATCTGTCGAAGAGCCTGTTCAACGTATTTCAAGCGGTGCTTTGGGTTTTTGGCCCTGCGCTTTTTCAGGCTTGTGAGCTGCGTAATACCCATGGTCAGGATTGATGCCTGTCGAGAAGCCTCGGTATGATCAACATTCCGTGCCACCATCCGTTCGTAGGCGTCCATTGCTAAAGTATGCTGTCCCTCCTTGAGGAATCCGGTCATGACAATCGCGTAGTGCAGTGCGTAAACACGCATGTTGTTTTCGACCATGTTGACTCGCAAAATCTTGTAGGCAGCGTTTGTCTGCTTGATCTCAATCAACGACCGCATCAGACTGCCATAGGTCCACGAGTCCAATGGTATGCCGTGCTGGATCATCTCCTTGTAGAATCGTCTGGCGTTTGCAACATCTCCGTTCAAGGCGTGGAATTGAATGAGCAGGTTCCAGGTGTGTGTGAGAGGATCCCCACGGAGGGTTCCAGCCTTCCACGCCTTGAGCATGCCTTGGGCAATTGCCTCGGCACCGTCTGGGTCATCGGCACTCAGAAACGCCTGCACGTAGCCGGATCTTGCGCGAACGTTGTTGTCGAGGGGAATGCCCATTTGCTTTCCTTTAGAATACAGAGCTTCAAAAGCCTCGATATCGCCTCGCTTGGCACAAAAGTCAAGCATCGGATTGAACGTGTAGTGGTCTGGTCGTACCCCAGAATCCAGGCAGTTGTTGAAACATTCTAGAGCCCCGTCGAGATCGTCGGCACGGACGTATGCGAGGAGCAATATGTTCCAACATGCAACGTCAGGAGTCAACCCAAACTCGGTACTGATGCGATCAAACTGCTCTTTCGTCTTGGTAACGTCTACACGCCGAGCATAGACAAATGGAAGCGCCGACAGGATCTTCAGGCTTATCCTGTCCTCGTAGTACGACTGGTATTCTTGGAAATATTCGTGAACGTAGTCAGTTTCACCATGTTGAGCGAAAAGATGAACCAGAAACTCCAATGTGCCAGCTTGAATGGGTCTGTTTGGATAGAAAGTGCGTATGTCTTTCACCAAATCTTGGACGCGATCCAGACTGCTGTTGAAGCCATGACGGCCGATGAGCAATCTCAAAAGATTGTGAGATGGCTTTCCGTCAGGCTTGGGGTCCTGCAGGTACAAGTACTGTTTGCGGTATCTTCGGTACAGCTCGAGCCAAATCTTTCGCTGGTTGGTGTAGTCGGTGTACCGTACTTGTTCGAGTATTCGCTTGATTGCATGCTCATAGCACACATGGGTTGGGAGCTGCAGATCACGAAGCGTATCGAAGAGTTTGATGAACCAATTCCAGATGAAATCCTCATCTGGTCTGCGAGCGGTCAGAATCTGGTCCATTACGTGGGGAACGAAAGTCATGACGAAAAGCTTCAAAGATTGGGCCGTCTCTTCGGATGACTCGAGCTCGTCCTGAACTTCGCGAACGTAACGGAAAAAAGAGTCGAGATATTCATGAAGGTCTGGAAGCTGGGCCGCCTCGTTCCAGACTTCCGAGAGAGGATATGCGAAGCCACCGCGTACGTGGTTGGTTATGTACTGCCCACTGAACTTGGGGTTCAGGCGCATAAACGTCCTGAAGACACGCAGACTGAGGTCCCACTGCTCGTTGAAGACAGTGCGCCGCAAGATGGTGTTTGTGCCTATGTTCAGCGTGTCGGGACCCTCGTTGGCAGAGATTTGTTCGTGGAGCAAGATGGCGGGCGCAACCTGTCTGAGAGCGATGTAAGCCACGATGGCTGCCCGGTACGACGACGGCCGACGGTGTGGGGGCGGTAGAGCGTCGAAGATGTCAATTACTCGGCTGGGCACAGCAGGGTCGCCGTCGAGGGTGAGGTAGTCCAGCAGGTCTGCGGATATGGCGGGGTCGAGACTGGACAGCTGTTTGTCGGACATGGCAGAGTAGAGTTGCCACGCCAGTTCCTGCCCGCCATGCTCCTGTTCGCGCAGCAGTTCCTGCAGCGCCTCTGTCTCGCTCTGGTGCAGCAGCCTCTTCGCCATCTGGGCCCTGGCCAGTATGACGGCGGGCTCTTCGGCGTTTGATCCGTCGGCCGTCGTCGCCAATTGCTGCGACTGCCACGGCGTAGTGGAGAAGCGACGCACGCCCGCCCCGCGGCGAAGGTCTACCACGTCCAGCCCGGGGGTGGACAGGCGTCTGAGCAGCGCCAATGTCTTCTCCGGGTACAGGAAGTCAAGCAGGGCGCCGTTCGGGGCCGCAGAAGCCGTCTTGCCCCCCGCCACGGCCACCTCGCCAGTGTCACCGCCCGCGCGGTCGAGTGTTGAGCTGGCGGCCCACGACGCGGGCAGGGCCAGGTCGCCCGCGCCGTGGTGCCAGAAGGCGGCGTGCAGGGTGCGGCGAGTGCGCAGACATGGCTTCGGGGCGCGGAAGAGCTGGCGTCCGCCAGATTCGAGGCATGTCGAAGCCCGCTCGAGCATCACCCGCGGTCGAGGCTGGCACAGTTCAGGGGGAGGACTCGGTGGCGGCAGCGTGCGAGGCAGAGGGAAGCATGGTGTGGCGCTGGGGCATCGATGATGATTGCATGCAAAACTTTGGGGCGCGACATCACGAGATATCGTCTAACGTTCCCGACGCACCCCTAGCGCGGGCTGCTCCCCCATCACCGCCGCCCACCCCACCACGGCCACTGCACCGGCCCCGCCATGGACATCACCAGCTTCGTCGTCGCCTTCCGCGAGCGCGCCTTCCTGCTGGGCGACCACAGCGCCTACCGCGCCCAGCTGTCGCGCCGCCTGCGCATCGTGCGGAAGAAGCTCGGCCGGGCCACGCCCAAAAATGCCAAATATGCACCAAAGACGCCCGTGACGGCGGCCGAGATTGGCAGCAACGTCGAGTACGCGCGCTGGCTGCACTGACCCGACACCGGCTAATTGGTCGCAGGGCTCTCCACCTGCTGCTGCTCACCTCGGAGCGGGCATGGGCGCACGCAATGGCCATGAAGGCCTCGCACTCGGAGGACAACGCCGACAAGAACATCACCGGCTCCACCCGCCAGCACATTGTCTCGCGCCTGCACAAGGCCGTCCAGAACGCCAACGACATCGTGGGCCTGGTCTCGGACACGGCAGCAAGCGGCGCCACAGAGACGGACATCCTCGAGGCCAGGGCCTACGCATATGCCCTGGCCGGCGCAGAGGAGTTTGAGAAGCAGGCCGAGGGCATCAAGGCCAGCAGCGCCTCGCCCCAGCGCTGGACCCTGTGTCTGACCAACTACTCCGCCGCGAGGGTCATCTATAGCGCACTGCTCAAGGCCACCAAGAAGGACCTCTTCAAGGAAGTCCTGGCGGGCACCACCGACCCGAGCATACGCTACGCCGCCTACCAGAGCCGCATCCCGCGCACTGTTGGCGTGCCGGCTGTGTCGAAGAAATTCTTCCCCAAGGACAACACCGAACTTGCTCAGGCAGTCGAGAAGCTCGACCCAGCCGCACTGCACGAGGAGGATGCAGCTGCCTCTAGTGGGTTGCACGCCCTCTACCACACACCGCGTCTAACAACCCCCAGATTCTGAAATCACATGGCGTGGCCGGAAGGCAAACATCGTCGACGCTGCAATTGGCCAGGCATTGGTCTCTGTGGATGCTGCCTCCGCCGCCCTCGATCAATCCCTGGGCTCCACCACCTCCGCAAAAGACAAAGCCAACGCATACGACGACATCCTCATTGCGAGCCAGGATGCAGTCGACGCGACCAAAAGCGCAATCGAAGAACTCGAAAAAGAGGGTGTCGACGAGGGAGACGCGCGCATGCAGGATCTTCGCGTCACCAGCCTCGCAGTCAACTACGACCTGATCTCGTGGCGAATCGGCCGTAACAGAGTGCTCATCGGCTCAGACGACGGACTCACGTTCCCACCAAACCCCCCGCAAAAGCCACGCCGCGCACGCAAAGATGGGAAAGAATGGGCCGAGCGAGAGGAGCCTACAGGTCGCAAACTGGCCAGGCTACGTGAACGTATCGCGCTGTACGACGCCATCTTGCAGAGCATCGACTCCGTCAAAGACATACGCGGTGCTGTGCGCGACACGGCCTTCATCTCGGAGCTGGACGGACAACGAGCGTACTTCCAAGCACTCAAATGCCTGAACCTGTCGCACTCCCATGCCTTCCTCTCCGCGCCCAAGCAAGCCCTCGCACTCTGCAACCGCGCCCTGCTCCTCTCAGCCTCAGCCGCATCTGCCCCGCGACCCACATCATCCTCGCCATCGAAAGCATCGAAGTTGGAAGTGTCCCAAGAGCAAGCGCAAACCCTCAACAAGAACCTCGAAAATCTAAACTCCCACTACCGCGGCGTGGTCGCGTTGTCGCAGCTCTCGGAGACGGTCTCGAAGACTGCCCTGAAGAACGCAGCGCCTGTCGTTGAGAGGCTGAACGAATACCCTTCATCTGGCGCAGTGGATCTGCAAAACCTGGTTACTTGGCCGCCGAAGCTCAAGCCTGTGCCCGTCAAGCCGCTATTCCTGGACGTGGCGTGGAATTACGTAGAGTATCCTGGTCGGGAGAAGGTCAAGGAACCCGAGCCTGAGAAAGTGGAAGTCGAGGCGGCGGAGGAGAAGCCGCCGCCTAAGCGCTGGTTCTCTTTTGGCAGGTAGGAAGGTATACCGATCTCGTGCCTGCCATTGATGTGTGAACGTGTCTAAAGTAGTTAGAAACAAAAGCACATCGAAAACCAGTAATCGTCTTCTTCCAGCTTCTCCCTTATCGTTTGCGCTACCACAATCTCCAAAGCGTTCTCGCGACGTTCACAGCTTTGAGACGCGGTGCTCGTAATTGGTGCGGCAGATAGCCGTTGTGGAGTGCTAGCGCGTCCTTTGTACCCCTGAGGCTCAAGCGCTTGTACGTGAACTTGACGCGCCTTGCGGAAATGGCGTCGTGAACCAAAACGTGGAGCAACGGACGCTGGACGATAATAACTACGCGAGCGTCGTGCTTTGTTTTTTGTTTCGAGAGTCGAGGCAGACGGGTAATCACAAACTGGGTGAGGGATGGATGGGAGGACTCGACTTGGTGTGAGACATGTGGTAAGCTGGGTTCAACATATGTAGTGAATGGTGGGTGCAGATCAGCCGTCCTGTGCGACTACGGTAGAATCGTCAAACTTAGCAGGGTCCGGAAAGGCGCTGAGGTCATGCAGGTAATCAAAATGGCCAAATTGTGATGTGGGTATCGATAGTACGCGGGTAAGGGGCGTGCTAGGGGGGGATGTCTGCGGTACGTAGAGAACGTACCTTGCACCGACCAACCTGTACTGCTTGTTCTCAGTTTGTACCTGTTCCCTCACACTCCTTTGCACCTGTCACTCTTTTGGTTGCTGTGTTGTTGTTGTCTGCTGTTGTTCACTCCATATTGAATTGCTCCATCCAGCTTGCCTGCTTTTCTCGCGTCCAGTACAGAATTTACAGCTTCGAGAGGATCAGTTCGAGCAGTACTTCGACTTCCCACTACGAGAAACGTCAACGCGTTTCTCAACCATAATATCCATCACGGCTACCACACTGGCTACCTCGGTTTTACCCCGGCCTCAGGCCTTTCGCATGCCTTCTTTGCAGGCATTCGAGCTGCCCGCGCTCAAGACACCCCCTCTCACATTCGAAGACAAAATCCCAATACCGCCGATTAATCACGATATATCACGACCCTCCTCGAGTTCGACCGCAGCTTCCTCCACGCCGCAAAGGCATGCTGTAATACAACTGCCCGCGCTCTCTGCATTGGCTTCTGTAGCTTCAAACAGCCCCGCAGCATATATGGACGGAGAGGGTAATGGCAATTTGAGAAGCGATACGCCGCAAGGGAAAATGCCGTCGCCGCCAAAGTACGTTTTTTCCATGGGCCTGCGAGTTGGTGAAGGCTGCGGGTGGGCTGCCCATGCGACCCACTTGCGACTTCCTCTTTCTTATCGGCGGTCTTGGCGTGAACCTCGTCCCAGTGCAAAACTGACCCAACCCCAGCAAACCCTCTAATGGTATCAGCATGACTTACGCAACTGCCGCGCCCGCGACCCCTGGTGGACAGGCAAACTCGCCGGTAAGAATACGCTCTTTGCACATGTTGTGGTGTCGCACCTGCACTTTGGTCGTTCTCCACCAATTTTGCTCTTATCGATAGCCATGATTCCGTCCATCCTCAACACCTCGAGCCCGCCTTTGCTAACACACCCAGCCCCAATGTCAGAACTGCACCACGAGCACCACACCGCTCTGGCGTCGCGATGAGACGGGCTCCGTTCTCTGCAACGCCTGCGGCCTGTTTTTGAAGCTGCACGGCCGACCCCGACCAATCTCGCTCAAGACCGATGTCATCAAGAGCCGCAACCGTGTCAAGGCGGGCGGACCAGGCGGCCGTAAGAAGGTGAGACAGACCCACTCTATTGTTTACGCAGTATCTAATCAGCCTGCAGGCTGGTGAAACAAACGGTCTTCCCGCTGCACACCCCAACGCCGACGGCTCGCTAGGACTCGCTCAGCACCGACGTGTATCCGACAAGCTCTCGTCAGGGCTCTCCGACCGGTCGCAATCGCCAATCTCGCGCACAGGCACACCGAACTTTGCCCTTCACTCCAACATTGCGCCTCAGCATTTGTTTGATGGTGCTCTCCACGGCGAGGCTGTGTTCCACTCGCCATCTTTGCCTGGCTTTGGTCTCCGACAGCCATCGCCTGGCTCCACATCCTCCATCAACGGCTCGCACCTCGAACCCCCGCTACCCTACGACACACTTGCTGCTCAGAACACCGCCTTGAAGACGCGCGTCTCGGAGATGGAACTCATCAACGACCTCTTTAGAACCCGCGTCAATGAGCTGGAACAGAGCGAGCAGGCTGCGCGGGAAACGCAAGCGAAGCTGATGCAGGAGATTGAGGATTTGAAAAGACGGCTGGACGACCGAGACGTGATCGAGGACAACGACGACCGTCACAAGAGGCCGCGACTCAGTGATCTAATCGATGAGAGCCGAGCCGGAACACCCATTGAAGCAATGGTGGAGTAGACCCCGCTATCAGATGTTGGATGTGAATACGTGTTTTCAGCACTCGATCACTTCAGCTCTGCTCTTTTATGACTTTTACATGTTCGCGAGTTCCCATCATTCGAACCTTGAGTCGCTGTGGTCGACTCTTGTTCCTGCTGTTGTTGTTCTTCTTCGAAGTCTTCAGCACTCTAGGACTGGAGTTCGATTGTTGGAACTCTCTACTGGTCGTCACGACCAACTAATGTCTGAATTCCACTTCACTGACGAGACCGTGTGTGGGCGGTATTTGTACTCTAATATTCTCTTCCTCTGATACCAGGCGTTGATGCGGCAGCTGAGTGGGTTATGCGGATTGGGGGGTATGGATGAGGCGGGTGAATGCATGTCAAAAGTCTTGTTTATCGATGGAAGAGTTTCTGGTAATGGAATGTCATGAGCTCTTATCTTTGTTATTTGCGGGGTGGTGTTTCTGAAGATCGATTAACTCACGACCACGCTTGGAGTCTTCGGTTGATGGGGTCGTCTGTCAACAGACGCACAACGCTTCAACAACATATAAACATGTCAATACCGAGACGAAACTGCTGCTCACAGCATCTGAACCACGGTCAGCCCCGTCAAATGCTGTCAAGAGTGTGGGCGCAGCGATAGATCGGGTTGTTTAGGAGCAGCACGTGACAACTAGGCCCAAGCTTCGCTAGCGCCCTCTTGACCTGGAAAACCTTCTCTCTCCTCCCTCTTGCTACCTCCTCCCATCCATTGCAACCCCAATTCATCCCCAACTCATCTCCACTCCGGCCGTCAACGCTCTCACAATGGTTGCCATCGCCCGCTCCTTCGGCGCCGCCCGCGTGGCCGCCCGCAGCATGACCACCGCTGGTATGTTCTCCACCTCCAGCGCTCGCACCCATTGAGCTTTATCCGCTTCATCAAGCAGCCATTGACTCCCATCGTGCAGCCCGCCAGCCCACCCAGAACAGCCTCGTCATGGCCTCGGCCCGCAACGCCTTCAAGAACAACGCCGGCCGCAACCTCATCCAGAAGCGTGGCGTCGTTGTCGAGTCCACCGCTGCCGCCATGGTCGCTGCCGCTAAGATCCAGGGTGCCGGTCTCGCTACCATCGGTCTTGCCGGTGCCGGTGTCGGTATCGGTACGGTTTTCGGCGGTCTCATCCAGGGTGTTGCCCGCAACCCCTCCCTTAGGGGCCAGCTCTTCCAGTACGCCGTTCTGGGTTTCGCCTTCGCTGAGGCCACTGGTCTTTTCGCGCTCATGATGTCTTTCTTGCTCCTCTACGTCGCGTAGATATGTGCATGGCATTGGACATCCTGACATCGGGTCTTTGGTTCGGGTCACAAAGGGTGGAAAATTTTGCGGATGGGTGGGTGCATAGGAACGACTACCTCTTTTCCTTACTCTAGTGGCCGGTCAGATTGTAAAACATGTACTTTAGACGAGCAATCTGAAGAGCAAGCTACCACGTCACATGTCCAGTTCCCGAGGTACATGTATGGACGCTCCGTTACGAGTAGTGACGCGAGCGCATGGTTTATAATGATGACAATGGACTCAATTGAACACCGAGAATCGACTCTAGGGACTTTCTATTAAATTTCCAATGCTGTGTGATGGACATCAAGGTCTATGGTAAACTTGGGCATTTGGCCCGCACCCAATGCCAAGTCTTTCAACTTGACATCACCCAGGACTGTCCGTCTGAGGTTATCAATTACCATCAAGTGTCAACCCAGCCCTTCACAAACTGTCATTCACCCTTCCACACAATCTACCCTCATCCCCCCCCCACCCTTCGCAACCGCACCAATGCGCTCACCCGAAGCTTCCTGACCTCCCGCGCGTGCCCCGCTATCGCCTGCCTGGCTCGAGCTCGAGCTCGAGCTCGAACTTGATCGTGCGAAGAACTTGTTATGTGGCTGTTTGCGCGGCTGGACGGTGCTGTGTAGCGTGTTGTGGTTTGGGGTGTGTATTTGGATGTGACATGATGGAGAGGGTTGTGGGGTTGTGAGGTTGGGGTCGGGGAAGACGGGTGGAGGGGCTGGAGGGGTCTGTTTGGGGGGTAGGTAAGTTGATTCGAGTTTGCGACTTTTGAGTGGTTGTTAACTTTGTTTAGATGTAGTGATTCAATCGAAGCGAACGAACGAACGAAACGAATTGAATCGAAACTGCGCGGAGTAATGTACGTCGTTGTTCGAAGGGGTCTGGACACTATTGGTGAAGACCGAGACGGCCATATTGAGGATGTGGGGATAATTGGCGGGCGATGGGGTTTCCTCTGATGCCTGGCGAGGAGGAGTGAGGAAGAGTGAGGAAAAGAACCAAGTCTCCGCTCTTAGAGTGACGTCGTTAGTTCCTGCTGCGACTGTATTGTTTGGTATGAATGGCACAAATGCTGTGGCTAAGCTACGTTGCAGCTCGGCTCTACTCGATCCCGTACCAACAGCTTGTGGTAGGTTGAGGCTGTGTGGTGACGAAGCTCTTGTGGTCATGGCGTTTCGAAATCTGTTTCGTGATGCTATGAAGCTCGTCCCGAAACAGACACCGCGAGAGCATTTCAAAACAGACGTCCGGATACTAAACTACCCAGCCATTTCATGTTCGTCATGGGAAGAGATGCTGTTCTGAATCCTACAGAGTTCCGTGCCGTTACGTAGCATGTCACAGCACGTTCAGGTATGAGACGAGCTTTAGGTTTGTCAAAGGCAAGCTTAGTAAGTGTTTGTTAAACTGTATATATTTCCCAAATGCTCATGTCTATTAATCAAGTCTTCCATCAAAGTCTCTTTATCAATACTATCTTGTAATTCTTGTGCTGGTCACATCTATCTTCTTCCAATCTACTCACATACTTCCAACACCCCCAAAAAACCTATTCAAAATGCGCTTCACCACTTTCCTCACCGCTGCGACCTTCTCCAGCATCGTCTTCGCCGCAACCCGTACGTACCCCCATATTTCCCACCCTATCTCATCCCTCCATCACTAACAAAGACCAAGTCAAGCGCGACCCCCAACAAGAAGTAACCGACATCCTCGAAGCGCTCCGAGAAAACAACCCCGACGACGCCGAAGCCGCCGCAACAGCCATGAGCGTGAAGCTGCGTCGCCGCTCCCAAGACGACGTAGCCTCCATCCTCGCCGCGCTCGCAGCCAACAGCCCGGACGACGCTGCGGCTGCTGAACAGGGTACGGGCACGGGCACTACTGCTGCTAGTAGTTCGGATCTGCAGGCGAGAGATTCACAGGCCGATGTGGATGCTGTTCTCGAGGCGCTTGCGGGGAATAATCCCGAGGATGCGCAGGCGGCGAGGCAGTCGGTTGGGAAGAGACAAGGTGATTTGAGTGCGATTTTGGAGGCGTTGCAGGAGAGTAGTCCTGAGGATGCGGATGCGGCGAAGAGCTTGAGTTAGAGGTGGTTGGGGGTGGGGGGTTGGAATTTGAGGGGAGTGTTGGTTTGGGGGTGGATGATGTAGTGGTTGGTGTGTTGGAAAGAAGTTCAATTTGATAACGGTCTGATGGATACATATGGATTTGAAGGGAATGGAAATCTTTCGACGCGGTCTAACTCAACATCCCACGTTTCTCCACCGCTTGATATCCGAAACATATCACTGCTTTTGTCCCTGTCACAAATCTCTCTTGGGACTGATCGCCGCGTCACCATGGACGAAAACTCCCGTTGTGATACCTCGAGTCTACTGTATCTTCACTGCTACCCACGTCCTCCATTTCGGCTTCGAAATCCAGATCCAAGAATGTAGAGATGTCGAAATTCAAGTCTGTTTCGTCTGTGTTTTGCATTCCGCCTATGCAGTTGTCGGTGGGGATGACTTCGTTTGGTGGTGCGATGGGCTGCTTCTCGTTGCTGATTGAGCCTTTTGCTCCATAAGCTTCGAGAAGATTGACGATTTCGGTACGGCCATACCGTTTTGCAAGATCTAGAGCAGTCGAACCAGAAATTGTGTGGAGTTCGGGGTTGATGTCTTTGTGGTTGAGCAATAGCTGTACCGCAGATATCTGGTTCTTCCACACGGCATCATGCAACGCTGTCGATCCGTCGTAACTCCGATAGTTTATGCCGACATCTTCATGTTTGAGGAGAGACTGCAAAGCTCTGCAGGAACCACTCTGCGCAGCAACGTTTAGAGCGGCTTCTCCCCTATTATCCATACTATTCACTTGAACATCGTCGTGATCAAGTAACAGCTCCACTAAGCTCGCATCGTCGTGCTGCGCCGCTATGTGTAAGAGTGTTCGCTCATCTCTATCCTTCTCGTTTATAGAAAAGTCTTTGTAGCTTAAGAGCCTCCTTACAATGCCCATAGCTTCTTCTTTCGTCAGTGTTGTCGTTTTGCTCGGCGTGCTTTCGAATGCCGCACTTTCTGCTTTGCTCGACAAGAGAAAATCGACCATGCTCCATTGTCGACCAAAAGCGGATGCTCGTAGCAATGATCGTTTGTTCTTTTCCATCTCCTCATAGCCGATTCTTTCATCTGCAAGCAGAATTTGTATGAGATCTAGGTGGCCATGGTGTGCTGCCCTTTCCAAAGGAATATAACCAGCGCGGTCTCTCCGGTTGACTACGGTATTTTTGCATGTGAGTAACAATTTCAATGTTTTCGTACATCCTCTCATCGCCGCAATATGTAACAAAGATGACGAACTCCTGAACCGGAAGTTTGGATTGAGTTTACCGGAGTCTAGGAGATGGCTGAGTATTGATGTACAATCTTGTGTTATGATTCTACGCAGGATGTGATGTTCACGCTCAGAGTTCCAGTCGAAGTCGGTTTGTGAACCAGACACTAGTTTGTGCAAGAACGAGACCTCATCGGGACTTTTTTCCTGGCGGCTTATATCCCGATTTCCCTCGATATGGTGTACAGTGCTTCGTATGAGTTCGAACTGATCTGTACTGATCATGTTATCGGCCAATTCCTTCGTTAACTTTGCTCCACTCGCTACCAATAGAGCAATGGTAGGTTGGTGCCGGCTCAACACTGCTTCGTACAATGGCGTTCGCCACTTAAGATTCCGAGTTTCGAGCTCTGCTCCCATCCGAATAAGAAACTGGATCATATCTAGTTGATTGGTCTTCACGGCACAGTGCAGCGCAGTTGACCCATCGTCGGCCTCCATTGACAGATCAATACCAGCGTCTAGTGTTGACACTAAAAGAGGGATGTTGCCTGTACTTGCCGCTTGCAGCATTGTAGGAAGTAACAACGGTTGTTGTCTGGTTCTGGTCTTCGCAGAAGTCTCAGCCGATTCCAAAGAGAGCAGCAAGTCTCGTTGCTTAGTGCCCCGTTCCTGTTTAGAAAAGTGGGTTGGATGGATTTGGCGAATATGTTGGCGAAGGTTATCTTTGCGTGTTGCCTTGAAAGTACAGGTTTCGACAGAGCAGTCATACTTGCTCTGCCCGAGCCGGTGTCGAGCGAGTGCATGTCGCTTGAGATCTGATCGAAGTGCAAACCTCCTCGCACACTTGTCGCACGGGTATGGTTTGGAGTGCGTCTTTCGATGTCGACTTGACCTTGAGTCAGTATTGTGCTGATAGAGGACCATCAAGTGCTCACTTATATCCTCCACGAGCGTTGAACTGTTTCGAACAATCCTCACAAAGAAAAATATCTCCGGAGGCCATAGTGAAGTACTAGTGTTGAAGCGTACGGTAGCGATGAGCTAAAAGAAAATGCATTGTAAAGTTGCTAGTTGTTGACCATGAACAAATATATACGTGCGTAACATACGGTCAAATAGTCATGTATGCTGTGTGGCTGATGGCTGCATGCGAAAAGGGTGCACGCTCGCTATGTCATTGGCTGCTCGTTGGGTTGACGAAGACGAATGCGACACGTGAACCCAGCCTGCCCTCGTCACATAGGTATTGCAACCCCCTTCCCTTCTGACGGCCTGCTTCTCTCTTGACTCCCCTCTCGCATCCATTGAACTCGACTACTCTACGAATTGCTCGATCTGTTTGGTCGATCCACTTCCGTCGTCCACCAAGACTCTTCTTTCCCTACCGACTATTTGTGCTTTGCATCCGACAATGGCACAGTTTCCCCTACATCAACACCTTGCCAAAGGGACTCTGACGATGCCGGAAGATACGTCTATCAAAGCCACGAGGAGCTCGACCTCTGCTGCGTCTCCTGTAGCTGACCGGTAATTTTTTTTAACACCATGCAGGTATGCCTTTTCCGTTGCGAACAACAAAGGCTGCAAACAAATGCCTGGGTTCACCCAAGCCAATCAATCGCTGCCAGTACCGTCGCAGCCAGCTTACCTGCAGGACGATCTCGCCAATGAGTTCACGCTACTGTCAAGAACATCTTACCCTATTCTTAACGAGCATTCCATTGGCCTGAACGGTTTGAACGTCGCGGCCCTTCCTCGTCTCGATGTAGATGTGGGGGTCGGGTTGTTTGATGGGCAGATCAACATACCGTTCCCACGCAACGACGACGTCCTCAATGAATGCGCAACCAACTGGTTGATGCTTGATGGCCCTTCTATCGATGATTCGCATGTGCTGGATTCTTCGTCTGCCTTACCCAACGATATTCCATATTCCGACATCTTTCTCGGTTTGAACGCTGATCAGCATGCAAGCACTCAACCCTTGAGAGATGCCCAGACCCTCGATGCTGCCTATCCTATGGAACCTGTCTACCTTCCGGATTATCAAAGTGGCATTTTCATCGACTCCATGTTCAACCAAGCAGTCGTGGATCAGAAGATGCATGCTGTCGCTCTGGGAGATGAATATCTAGTCGGTCGTCTGCCGTTCAACTCGAGCTCTTCGATGAAACCGATGGCCTCTTTTGACCAGTACTCGACCCTCAAGCCGGAGTACATCCAGATGCCTGCTTTCCTTCTGACCCCACCGTTCTTCAATGGAGATCCTGCTCCTCAAAGTCGAGCTGCATCACGTCCAATCATGCCAGCCACCAACGAGGCCGGACTCAATTCAGCTTCCAGCTTGCACCCCATCCAGGTTGCTACCGCCTAGTTGAATGTTGGTGAAAACCTTCGTTGTCCTAGAGGCTGTTCGGAAATATTCCGTCGCCCTGGTAGTTATCGCCGCCACCTGAGGAAGCACGAATCGCATAGGTACAGGTGTACCATAATCGACTGCACCAAAACGTTCTACCGCTTCGACAAATTGCGCGATCACATCAAGCAGCGCCATAAGCTTGTCTTGTAGCTTCCAAGGACAATTGCGTAGTCCAAATAGTCCAATGATTACACTCAAATGTTGTGCTCACTTTCTAAAGTATAAGCCCGCGCTCTTGTTTTTGTACCTAAGAGTTGAATGTCAAGTTGTTTCTTTGAACTCGTTTGTGTAGCACGTCTGACTAGTCTGAAAACGCCTCGATTTGCATTGAAGAACATACTTTCTTAGATTTGTTGATGGCATAAATCGAAGTACTGTCAGCACTCACGGATAACACAAAATTGTCCACGCTCGCCAATTATACTTTCATATCCAGCTTATTTCCGTTCAAAAAGAGATCACGGGCTTAGACAGTGATCATGCTGGCGTGGTCGATGCATTGAAAAATGTAGATGCAGTGGTGGTGATGACAGATGTAGACGCATATATACACCTGAACAATTCTTTCTCCTCAGCGCAAAACGGAAAACTTGTCAGAGTCGTTGAATCTCGTCTTAGGAAGACGACACATCATAGCGTTTAGCGATCGTAAGGCTACGAGGTTGACGGTTGAACGTGCGATACCAACAAGGTATGTGTTGAAGGTTCGCCTCGCTGGAGACGCAGGCTCTACCAATCGAGATCGAACACTGTCAGACTGTTGTTTGTTAAATTATGAGTCTGCTCAGATAACGAGTACAGAACTTTACCTAGAGATGTTTCGCAAGCTTTCTTGTCAAGTGCAAGAAGGGTAACTGCAAACACTTACATGCCCGTCCTGCGAATCAACAACACCAGTGAGGTTGGTGAACCCTCGAAGGCGGCCTCACAAGTAGACATGATAAGTCGGCACTCGTATGCGAGAGTTCCAGTTGTCATTTTTAATTTCCGGTTCGATTGTGCCTATGAACGAGATCTTCCTGGCGACGAGGCGTCAAAACATACTGATGGTATGAGCTTGAGGTCAGACTAAGCAGTATGTTTCGGTTTATACGTATACAAAGGCTCGCATCACTGAAAACTTTCAGAACACACAGGTGTCTCCCGCCTTCAGTCGAAGCCGCACAGAAGAAGCATTCCTCTTGTTCAACGCATGCAGAATCTCCTTGCACATCCTTCGACATCAACGTGCCTACTCTCCACAACTTCTGCTCGAGTATGATCCCACGTATCGACCACCTGTGTCCCAAAGGCGTTCCTTTGTACTCCGTTGTTAGTTCTGAGCTCCTTAGAGCCATCTTCCTTTCCACGAACTACTTTCTCTTTGTTTGATGCGCACGCTTACAGGTCAGTACCCTAGTACCAGCAAAGAATCTTCAATTCAATACAGTTCATGGTTTAGTACATCCCAAGAAAAGAGCGAACAAAATCGATTCCTTACTGAGTGCGACTCTGCTGTCTCTATGCTTCTTAGATCACGCCCAAAATGCATTCTCCGAGTTATGTTGGGATAGTTGGGAAGAGTAAGTGGGAAGATGGTGTTCTGAGGCATCTTCCGCATACTCACGGCCTGTTGTCCGCGTGAAGGAAGGGTTCCAGGTATGCTTATCCGACAGTTGGTTTGCAAGCGAGTAGCTGCTTGAGTCGAAATCGCTTTTGCATCCATAAGGAAGTCGTCACCTATTGAGGTTTCGTGAAAACCAAAAAGTAAATGCTTGCATCGATATCTGGCGTGAAAAGAAATCTAGAAGCATGATTGCAGTCATGAGTTAAAACGATCATATTGACCATACTCTATGACAATAATGCGGCGTTGTTCACATTCGCCAACCTGCGTGCGCGGCATTTGGTGGTAGAATATTTGCAGTCATCACCGAACACTCTGTTCTCTCCTCCCTAAACACCTCGGGACCTAAAAGTAGCAGGCATTCCATTCCTGACTTCCAGATCGGTAAAGATCTCCGATAGAGCAGCAAACAAAGTACGCGATGTGGCCTAGTAGCCCCGCAACTTAGACCCTGGATGGGTTGTACGCGAGGACGGTAGACGTCACCGGCCAAGCAATGCCATCATACCCTGCGCCGGGTTCAAGTAAGGGGGACCTCGTCAGATGACACTGCTCTAAACCACTTGATTGACCAGCGATTCTTGTTGTAACTATACTATACGCTGGAAATAGCAAAAGCTCAAAATCGAAGGTACATGGTTGCTCTTGGTACATACAAGCTTGTGCTGACACTAGAGACAGGAAACTGCAACCCTCAAACAAAGCAAACTACGCATTTTGTACAGCAGCAGCAGACTCCTTGTCAATTGCTGATTCTTAATCTGAAAGATCCTCGCGTGCGTACACAGTTCTCGTCTTACAGTTGCATCGTGGCTTGGATCGTTCTAGTTCAGCTTGAGAGGCCAATTCGCTGATTGCTCCAGAGTAGCCACTCACATCAAACACCCCTCATCATGAGTCAACGACCAACTCTCCTCCCGCCCTCAACCGGCTCCTTCTCGATTCCTACTCCCTCAGGTCTTACGCCCAACACACGTTCTGAAGCCGAAGCCGCCCTCTCGTACAACAGCTTCGCTCAAACCGACTCGGCTGCTCCGGATCCAGAATTGTTCGCGGACAGGAGTGTTGTGGATAATGATAACGGATCCGACGCCCCAGAGGCTCTACAGGCCTACCGACGACCAGGCGTCATGCGTACCAGCTCAACCAACTACCAGAACGCATTGAAAGAGGCTCACAAAGCATCCGTTTCCTCGGACATGTCGACGGATACGGATGTGCCTGATAACGTTACTGGAGCTGAAACGGTGGCTTCTCCAACGTCGTCAACGGTACCTTTCCCGCCGGCGGGTCAGGGCGTGGTGCCGAACTATGGCTTTGTTACTGGTCAACCCGAAGCTACGAAGAAATCGCGATCGAGAGGCCTCAGTCTAGGTTCTCTCGCCAGACAACAAAGCTGGAGTGAGCAAGACTTCAAGCGCGTTTACAATGCAGACATCTTGTCAGAGGAGCCGAAGAAGGATGGAGGATATGCCTCGGGAGATGATGGCAAGACGGCCGGTTCTTGAGTTTGAGGTTATTGAGAACTTGTGTTGATTCGGTTTTACAATGGTGGGTGTCAGAACAAGCTGAACGGTGGTGTTGAGCTACGAGACTATGATACATATGATATTTTGATGCATTCAAACACTTTCCTTCTGCCACTGATGTTGCTGCGGTTAGGTTGTCATCATGATTTGCTTTTTCTCAATTTCTATGATCAATTACTTGTCCTCATGTCGTCTTGTTTCGTCAAGACTCGACCTGGGTTTTGGAGTAAGAACCTATTTGTCCTCCTTGCACTCCAACTCTCTGTCACGTAGAACCGTCTTGTCCATCGGATCAAGCCTCTGACATCGATAGAACGCGGCACCTTTTCGGCACTGATGCGGACCTTCGCAGCAAGTTTTCTCTCCGCAGTACTGGTAGCATGTTCTCTCTTTACACCCACTTGTACATGTGGTCCTAGAAGACCCTCTCTCATACTTTTTCCGACATTTCCTCTCGCATCTTTCGACGACATACTGGAGATCGCACGTCTCGAGGCACATGTCACGGAACTGGTTGCAGCCTCGCGCTAATAGAGCGGTTTGCCATTCCATGGGCGTCAATGGATGGGTTTGAATGGTAATCCCGGTGGTGGCGAAGACAGGATGCGCGCAGGAGTTACCGATCTGACAATGAGTGGGCGTTCCGGACCAGCAACGGGCACTGCATTCGAAAGATGGGAGAGCGTCGGCGCGTGTGCAGACCCTGGCGAGACAGTCGACGTTTGGGGGCACACACATGTTGTGCAAACATTCCTTCCAGAGCTTTGTGCAGTCCTTGCAGCTGTGTATATCCTTCCTTCGCGCTGTATCGTGTATGCCACTTAGATCTTGGAATACACTGACGTTGTTGCGACGGGCCAGGTCCGTACACATTCGCCGCTCACACTGTCCACCTTCCCGACAATGCATAGGCCCATTGATACACATGTCATACTCGCAGTCGAACTCTCCTTTATAGTTTCGTTCTTCCACCGAATGCGCAGGACAGGATGGCTGCTCGGCATAACACTCGCCTCTTGCACATGCCGAGAGCCGATATTCAGGCGTCTCGTTGACGCGTGGATTCAGTCCATTGCTGCAAGCCTGCAAGTAGTCCTGACAATCCATACAGCTGACCTCTGCATCTGCGTTGTGACGAGTGGCAACAGTCTCTTGAAGGAGGGCAGCCATTTCATCAAGAGGTTGGGAGAGGGCGCAAAAGGGACAGCCATAGCAGTGGACAGTACTACAGAGTTCAGAAGCGACTTGGTGGTGGACGTGATCTTGATAGATCCAAGTGTCGCTGTCGATATCGAAGCCCTATAATAGTCAGCAATCAATTGTAGGGACTGCGATAGGTCAACTTACCCTTCCCATCCAGTGATAATACGCCGGGTAACACGCGATGTCGCAGTTCTCATCTTGAGGAATCAAGTTATTGGTCTCGCTAAGCTGGCTCAAGCTGGAAGCGGCCACGCCGAGCGAAACAGACAGTAGGATGAGAGTTTGCATGGTTGAGGTTGAGATTCTGGTAGATTGGAAGGAGAGTGAGAAGGATGATATTTCGCCAGCTGCGTACCCGGTATACACTCTGTCACTTTGGCGAACGCCTTGTCGAGATAATTCACCACCCGACTAGACTATGCTGCAGATTGAGAGTTGAGTTGTGTCTTCCTAGCGTGAAAGTGAACCACGGGTAGACAGACAGGAAGGTGACAGGGCCCAATGAGATAGGGAAAGCTCACCGAGAATTCGTTCACAAAAGTTGACTTCACCTCGACACCTCCTCAGCAGACATAACACCTCACTTCTCTTTCGACACTGACTCACTACCAACTCGTCACTCACATTAATCTTCAAGATGCGGTTCCTTCTCGGCCTCGTTCCTATTCTTGCGGCCTTACAAGGTGCTCTAGCATCTAGCATTCCTCCGCAAGACAGCGCTTGTATGTTCGGTCAGCAGCGCTGCCTCGACAACAAGATCGAAGAGTGCGACTATCGCTACCAATGGGTTACCACTCGGGAATGCGCCGACAACCAGATCTGCGTATACCACGACACCGAGATCTTTGGTCGCGCCGAGTGTGTCGCTATCCAATCTCCCTCAATTTCCATCCGTTCTGTCAGTGTTCCTCGTCAAGAAGAATTTTGCGTCGAGGGAGGCGTGAAGTGCGAAGGCAACCACATTTACCGATGCGATTCGAACGGTGACTGGCAGCTAAAGCAAACCTGCACCAAAGGCGAGAAGTGCACCGTCTACTTCGACATAGACGGCATTGGCTACGCTCAGTGTGTCAACACTTCACCCATCAAAGCACGATCTGAGACCGCTCAAAACGGGGTCAACCCTGACGCCACAGCTCGTTGTCTAGCCGGGGAACAGCGCTGTGACGAAAAGTCTAACGGAATTCAAGAGTGCGATTCCTCTCATCACTGGACCACCAAGAAGCGTTGTGGAGCCGGCCGTACCTGCGTGATCACCGAGACAGACAGTCCCCTGTGCCATCTTCCTCGCCACAACCCCCCGCGAGCCCCGAAGCAGCAAACCAGCTCCCAATGCAACGGCGGCGATCGCGCATGCGACTCTGAGCGTCGATTCGTCTTCGAGTGCAACACCGAAACATCCAACTGGCAAGTCCTACAGCAGTGCTACAAACCCGGCGCCTGCGGAAAGTACCAGGACGGTACACTGGGTTGCAATGGCTGGCCTGAATTTGACGGGGATAATCCGGTCTGTCAGGGAAAGTGTGAGAGCACGCTCTACTTGTACTGCATCGCAGGCAACTACGACAAGCCAGAAGCTATTGAGAAGTGTCGCAACGACATGTGCGCACGCGACTTCTGCAGTGGCTGTGATCGATGCCACTACATGCCTCCCTATGGAGGTATCGTCCAGCCAGATCTGATGACGCTGGTGCCTGGTGAGCTTGTGTCGGGGAACTAAGCGGTGATATGCTCTGGGGTGTGAGGATCTTGGGCAGGGCGAGAGGAGGAGCCAATCTAGACAGTGTCAACTTCGGAGAGCTAAAGCGTTTTCTTCTACGTTTGGCAGCAATAGCGGATATGGTAACATTCTAACTCCATAATGCTGGCAGAAGATGAGGGTTCACCTGTAAATCATTTGGCACACAATAGCTAGAATAGATACCTCAATTTCCTTTAATGTTCTTCTCTCGTGTTCTTACTCTACCACAAGCTTATGTGCCTAACGCACTATTGATCTTTTTTTGTTATATCGCAAGGTCACGCTCATGACTCTCTCGAACCAATTGTTTCAAATTGCTGCTAAGTGACACTTATGCAGATAGATATCAGAATACAAAAGACTCTTCATGGAAATGTAAATCCATTAAATTACGCCATACCATGGTATCACTAAAACTCGCTCTAGACATGCAAAACACTAAACTATCGACACGACTTTTGATCGTAAGGTTGTACCTGAACGGCCAACGTAGAAGAAACCCGAACGGAAATCTAAAAAAGATATTGGCAAAGGGGTATAGAAAGCAACAGAAGAAAACAATGCAGAAAGTCCCCACACCGGGACATCATACTTCTCCACACCCTCACACTTCTTGAGCGTTCACTCCCTGGCCCTCCTTCTCAAGCGCAGCCTCCTCATTGCTGCCACTCAAACTACCCACTGCCGCAACGCTCGAACACGACTCGTAATCACCCGGACCCTTCGCACCGTTGGGAATCCAGAACCGTAGATCAACGCGCATAATAGCGTAAAGGTACGACGTCAAGATCTCGTTGACGAAAATGAAGCAGTAGAATGCCGCTTTGTGGAAGTACACGGGCATCGGTTGTGTTCGTGGAACGGGAGTTTGCCAGGATGTTCCGCAGCGGTACCAGGCACCCATCGACACAAGTGTCGTACCTACAAGCAAGACGATGACCTTGGTGCGCAGGCGCCCGGCGCCAAACTTCTCCGGTGCACTGCGCCGTGGGATGGCAAATGCTATGGCCAGTATGATGATCGGGGCGCAGCTGACGACGGCCAAGAACGTCTGGCCGTAGAGCTGCAAGCTACGGTCGACATGCCTGATGGACGTGTCTAGCGTGTAGAAGCTCTGGACTGTTGCGACGATGACTGCGGCGAGTGTAAGACCTATCGTTACGTACAACACTTTCATGGCGATGCCGACGGCGGGATGCCAGCCAAAGTGTGGATGCAGAGAGCGGACGATGCGTATGGACCACATGACGTTTATGATGAAGATGATGAGGACACCGGCTGCGATGAAGATAGCTGCTGCGATGCCGAGTCGAGCATTGCGCGGGATGCATATGCTCGCTATGCGGAGGGTGCATGTGACTATTCGAGACATGCTGAAACCTGGTATGGCCTGTTAGTATGTGTTGAGCCTCATGTTTGGGAGGGCCATACCGAATAGAGCGCCGTTGAAGAGGAACTTGTGGCCTCGTTTCCGGTTCAACTGCAAAATGGTCATGTGTGTTACGGCGGAGCCAATGTAGCACACCAATAGAATGCATGTTATTGGAAGATCGATGTGTCGTTTGTTCAAGCCGCCAAGCGCCCATGTTGTTGGAAGGTATGGGGCTGAGGATGTTTGCTGCTATGTGTTAGACAGGTCATTTAAACCAAAGATACCAGATCATACTCCTGTACCAGCACCCGCGTTGACACCCTGGGAGGCCATGATGGATACAGATTGCAACTTCTCAACTGTTTGCGCATGCACAAACAATCGCCAGCTGCACAGCTTTTGTTGTGCGGGAGAAGTGAAGTGTTTGGTCGTTATGCGATAGGAACTCCTGCTTGTTGTGGTAGTAGAGTAGTCTGACGGTCTTGGAACAACAGCCTTCGTAAGGAGGACGCCCCTAATTTATCACGATATCCCCAGATTGTCCTTCGCGTCGGATCGGACGTGGACGGGAGGCGATGGCCGTTGTGGCTTGCGCTAAAGTCTTCCAGACCATCAGGCTCCAACGAACTAGAGTGTGATGAGCAACCTGTTCGCACAATGTCAGACCTTTGGCACGCGCCTTCGGCATTCGGTTTTGTGTGTATTGGTATCTCGGTGTCTCGCGCTAAGCGAAAAGCCGGAAAGAGCGAGATGGTGGGATACAGCCGACATAGAATTGAAACAACAGAACGCAGTTTCGGGACAACCAGAAAGGGACTTTACCATCTCTGTCTAAGCCTACAGCTGTCTTCTTAGTTTGCGTAAACGTGGCGGCATGGTAGTGTCACTTGCTTAGATGCCAATCTCGCTTCTCGCATTCAGCACAAGAGTTCCTTCAGCTGGCGCATTATTCGCGTCTCGCAGGATTCTACATGTACGGACGTTCCTTGCCTTGTATCTCAACTTCGGCGTCTTATCTTCGTAGGCCTGATTGTTGCACACTATGTCCGCCAACTCTTTGTATATAGCGAGTCCACTTTGGTCAATACCATATACATATTTGTAGCATCTAACATGAGTGTGAAGTGAAAAACAAGTTGCGTGTATAGACGCTCCGTACGTCAAGTCTTGTGATTGTTGTCGTAAAATCGTTGTTTCGAATCCCTTGCTCCTGCGCCATGTATTCCAGATGCATGCATGTAACAAAGAACACATTCCCACCTACCGATCCAAGGTTCTATCAACCTCATGTTTCATGCTCCCTTGACATTTTCACCAAACTGACATTTCTTAGTCTCTCAAAGAACAGGCATCAGTACCTCCCCCAACCACCGTCTCACACCCTCCACTACCTGCTCCCTCTCCTCAAACCGCCACTCCTTCTTCACCGCTCCTGCGAGATCTCCAAACAAACTCTCAATATCCTTCTCTGTATCATGATACAGCAAGGTTTGCAGGTCGCCCCCTTCAGCCATAAACCTGACTAGGAGATCCCCATCAATGTGCCTGCTTCTCGGTGCAGCAAGCCCTCTTTCCTGATACTGTGGATCGACATCCCTTGCCCTGATCTTCCCGTCTTGTGGCCCATCAGCACCATTCATAAGGACGTCGAAAATATCGCCACTGCGAGGTTTGACGACAGTGAATTGACTGGCGGGATCGCGGGTTTGTTTCGTTTCTATAAGGTTTTGCACAAACCGAAGGATATGACAAGCGGACTTGGAGAGTATAGAGAAAGTGTAGATTGTCCCGTCGGAGCAGGCACCAATGATGTCGTCCGCGAGGATACCGCTGATGTGGGTAGACGTGCCGAGATTGCAAGGCCGACGCCATGGTGGGCGAACGTTGCCGCGTTGTAGTCGAACTACTGTCCGTGGGAGGCAAGCTTCAAAGACGGTATCTGCGGCGTTTTTGTATGTTCGGTCGGGAGGATGATGGAGACCAGAAATTGAGGCGCTTTTTCTGTCGGTAAGCAATACAACCGTATCCCGTCCACTCTCATCCTCTTGATTATCCACATTAATTACGAGATGATGCGCACACCAGCGTTCACGACTGTCAGTGAAGACTTGCTCGAAGACGACGTTGCCTTCACTGTCCCTGTTCGTGACCGAATAGCACAAGTGTGAGTGCTGGAGCGTGGAGACATAGACAAAGGAAGGAGATATAGTGATGTGTATCCCAGGTGACGGAAGTTCTTTCGTTCCACGTTTGAGCCATCTGTAGACTATCAGTCAGATGAACAGTATGAGCATAGTGTTAATCACTCACCTCCCAGTTTCGGCGTCGAACTCGTCGAACGACAATGTCTTGCCGATGACACTAACGGTAGCTCTGTTATCGAACATGGTGACACAGTACACTGGATGCTCATAGGTCGATTCTTTTTTGAGCTGCAGCTTAGACCCGCGACTGCCTACATTGAAGATCAATCTTCTACCGGTTTCTTTCCCTGTACCCACAGTGATTCCGGTGCCCACGATGATGAAGGTGTATGGTTTACCCTGGTTGTTCTTGAACGGCCACTCGACAATGGAGTACACCCTCTCGGCATGCTTCAGACGATATTGAGCCACAACCAGTCGGTCCGTAGGTTCGTCCGTGTCTTCTTGCTTGATTTCAGGGTCTTCGAGAGGCTTGTCATCACACACCTGGAGTAGCTTGAGAGTTGAATGGAGTACTCTGTAGCCGTCTGGTGGAGCCCGTTCCTCTTTCGCTTCCATCGTCGAGATTACCATTCTGGGCTTGCTTTGCATGTGTATGACATTTGTGGGCTTGGCTCTCATGAGAACCTTTCTTGGAATAGCCTTGGAGTCAGCCTGGGGCGGCATTGGAACATCGTCAGTTCCCCACCTGACATCGGATTCAAGCTGGGAGAAGAGGAGTTGATCTCCGGCAACTGCAAAAAGGAATCCTCCCAGATTCCTACCCAGAGCATCCAAGTTTCTGATGAAGGGAAGTTGACACATTGCCGTAACCGCAGACTGCAAATTTTCTTGATTGATGCGGCCAGAAAACCATATGGAGTCGACATCTAGTACGGACACATCGCTCAGGGAGCAGCGCACTCGGCAAAAGTCCGCCCCACATGCTACGAAGGCAGCAGAGGCGTCAGTGTAACTGGGCATTGTCCTAGCCGGCGTGGTGCCCATCTTGACGAGGTTCCAAGACAGACGTGAAAAGTCTATTCCAAATCAATTACGTCTCTATTTACCTGTGGGATGTTTGTACTTACTGTTGTCCGTTTTGGTGAGAGCGGCACTCAAAAGACAACCATCGCGTGTAGCACAAACCAAAACTTGCTGTTGCCTCGAACTCAGGAGCACAGCACTCTCACATAACTTGTGAGGCTCATCGATCGCGACGTCTTTCAAAGATTCTTCCAGTACTAAAGAAGTAGTGCCTGATTGCCCTATCTGCAATAAATAGATTCCTGAATCGAAAGTGCTGACAAACACGTATGGAGTGCCTTCTACATCAAGGAGTTCTATACATGTAGGATCGGAAGGCAGCCGGTGACGAAACTCCCCCCGCGACACTCTGTTAAAAGTTCCATCATGTGCGATCTGTATGATTTCCAGGTACGTATTACTGCTTTCCCGGAACGCGATTGCGACGAAAGGAAACCCTGGTTTAGAAGCGGCTATGAGTAGAGGGGTTTCAACACAAATCGAGTCCGTCTGGCGCAAAAGTGGCCGCCGAAGTGTCCTGATCTCCTTTCGCGTGATTTGAATAGCGTGTTGATCAGACCAGGGACATGCAGAGATGGTCTCCTCGTCTCGCATAAAACCGTCTTCGATTGGTTCATCGCCAGAAGGTATCTGAAACTTATCCCAGATGCCGCCTTCCCATGCTCCGGAGAAGTCGCCACGACTCTCCGGTTGAGTGCGAACGAGACGGATCAACAGCGTTTCCAGTGGAAGTGTGATGGCAAAGCATACGTAGTGCTGTCTCACACCTCTGCCTTCTGCCTGGACCTTTTGGCTGCCATAATCAACTATGCGTAGGCCAGTACAGCCATTCATTCCACCAAAGCAATCATCCACAAGAGCTTGGAGACCATGCCTTAGCTCGGAGAGTTCTCCATGAGGAGTATTTCCATGGGTAACGAAAATAGCAGAACGTTCTCGTTCATCGGGAGCTCGTAGACCAGGGAGTCTAGTGACGCAGAGATCGGTGAATGGTGCCCAACTCGGTATCGACTGAATATAGTCGAACTGATTTGTCCCTGGGTATTGGGAGCCATACGAGTATTCTGTTGGCCATGCTCCGAGTTTGCACATAAGTCCATCACTTCCAGCCCCTCCTGCGATTAGAACGTCAGGATAGGATTGGGAGAATTCAGAGTTGTCCACGCTGAGACATGCAAATGCAATATCAATACGATATGGCCAATCGCCTGCATCGTTGACGTCCACAGATCCGGCTGGGCCTCGCTCCGCATACATGATACGTCCGTCTTCCCGTGCGATGTAGAAGACTTCTTTTGGAAACTCTGGATTGCGAGGTGCTCTATCCCACTGTACCCATCGTGGCCTACATTTGCTATCCCCAGGTCGGATGGGTGGGAGTATGTGAGCTGGGATAGGCGCTACCGTACGCCGAGGGACGCCAGATAGCACGTCTTTGTAGACGGCAATGTGCGTATCAAAAATGAGTAAGAAGTCGGGACTACGGCTGAGTGGAATGAGTAAAGAAGGGTTTTGGTCCTCTGAGATGATTAGTCTATGCCATGAAGCTAAGCTTCGAGGATCAAGTGTTCCTCACATACCAAAATCCACCAAAACTCGTTCTGCCCGAGCGGCTGCTCTGCTCAGATCGTATCTGCAATCCCAGTCAAAACAGGTGATTTTTGTCTTTCCTTGATGTACAACAATGAACAGAAGAACTACATGGAAGTCGTCTTGTCCATTGCCAGATGACAAGAATTCCATGTGCATGATATGTCCCTGGATGGATATGATGCGCTCGTCCACGATGGGTATTGTATCAAAGCCTTCTCGTACCTCCTTCCGCCATGTCTCCATAGATTTTGTCTTGTACAACATGAAACGACCTTCTTGGGCAGCCACTGCTATTGCTCGACGTTTGGGATCTACAGCGAGGAAAGTACCCAAGCGGTCAAAGCGCGTAGCTCCAGCGGGGAGCTTGACAGTTTTACGACTGAAGGTAACAGTGCCTGTTGGGTTACTCTGAGCCCACAGAAACATCAGTGTCCTCGATGTCAGAGTTAGTACAATGACCTCGGGAGGAAGCTCGTATTCTTCGTCGCTGGTTGTAGATCTTCTGGCTCTGTATGGAATCTGCTTTTTGGGCAATGGACTGCCGACGCTCTTGTTACTGCGAACCTGGCGAGGGTCACCAAATACCCTCGCGGCCAGGATGCGACCCTTGAAGTCTGATTTGGTGGCAACATGGCGGAGATGACCATAGTCACGGATCTCCTTGAGATGCACCGAGTCCTCACCCACAAGGACAATGTCATTTGAGTATTTGTGCCGAATGTTGGCGGGTAGGATGGACTTGAAGAGAGGGCTCGCAAGCAGTGTTCTTGAGAGGATCCCGAACTCGGGAACACGGCTTGCCGGCTTGCAATCAGGCTCCCGCATTTCAGTGTCATCTTGCTGGGCTCGTGCCATGATCTGGTAAATATCCATTGGTCTCGAAACCCACTCGTTGTTGACAAGGACAAGACCCTGGACTTGATGGTTCATGGTGGGGATTAGAATGGAAAGATCTGTTTGGGGTATCGCTCGCACCACGGGCCCGTGGACAGTGGATAGATGCCGATCGAACTAGGCTACAAGGGGAGGATACGCTGGAGCGCCCAGCACTGGCTCAAACCGGTGGGGATGGGAAAGACGAGGGTATAGTGAGAGAGGAGATGTTTGACATGTTTGTGCCTGATTGAACAGGCAAGACTGGTCAGACGGATGACGACGGGGCGAATATTTTCTGTAGTATCATGAGGTGTTAATTGGCCCAACGAAACGGCTTGCACAACATCCCGTACCAGGGATGTATTGGAAGAGGACTGATGAGTGGATAGTGGAGAGCGGAAGGAAATGGCCACTGAGACTTTTTCAACAGTCCAGCTGCAACCGTGGCAGTTAGTTGCTACAACGAGTTTGGGTTATTACGACCAGATGCAGCCATCCGACGTCTTGACGAGTGATTTGGTTTGATAGGTGGTGGTGCTAGGGCATATGCGCGTGGTCGATGTCGTGAGGCGATCTGAGATCGTGCACTATTGCAAACAACCAGGGTGTGGCATTGGATGGGCTGGAGGGCCGAAGGGCGATGCCACAAAAAGAAACAAAAGCAGAATCGAGGAAGCACCTGACGTGTGCTTCTCGTTGGTCGTACCTGGCCCTGCGGTGGAGCAGAGTGACTTGGGCGTGCACAAGCGGTGCAGGTTGGCAAGGTCGCGGCACCGGGATGCTGTCGAGGGCGCCGTAAAGAGCGGCGGAACCAAAGCAGCGGGTGTCGAGCGGTGTCGGTGCAGCCCTGAAGCGGATGTCCCCGACGGTGAAGTCGAGGCACATCCACCGTTGAGGGACATTCACCGTCAGCGCGGATTGCTGACGGTGCCAAGCGCCGCAGCCGAGGAGAGCAAGTCGCGGTCTTGGTGTAGATTCGCGACAAGCATGCACACCACCATGTAGCAGCAGATACTGCTCTTTTTCTGACACAGATTCCCCCCGTGCACCCCGCAGCATTTAGAGGCCGCCGACTGCCAGGAGCAGCTTCTCCCGTCTGTCTGACCCCGAGATGCCGCCACAGCCATGACCTCACCCACATCCTCCCGCTCCGTGAGCTCTGGCAGCCTGCCATCGCGTCCAGGCACGCCGCACGCCGAGGGGAAGAAGGAGACTCTGATCCGCGCTGCCTGTGCCAGTCGCGACCTCGACGCCCTGGTCCATCTGGCGACGAGCACGCACGGCCTGGTCAGCGACAGCTTGCGGCGCACAGCATGTACGGCCCAGCGCCACTGGCTTTCCTCGCCGACGACTAATGCACCCAGGGCCTCTCTTGCTTGGATGCTCGGAGGAACACTCGGCGGACCAGGCGCCATGGGAAAAGCTGCCTGAGCACAGGGACGAGCACCAGGTTGGCCTGGACGTAGCCCGCGCCTTTGTCTACTACCCCAGAAACGGTACATGCCTCCACACATGTTCACCTTCTAGCCGACTAACGCCCCGCAGAGTCAGAGAAGCAGCTCGACCGCCGGAAAGAAGAACTGTCCGACGTCATTGTCGAGGTGCTCCGCAGACACCCAGTGCTGTGCTACTTCCAGGGCTACCATGACATCGTCCAGGTCCTGCTGCTCGTCCTCGGCGCCCAAGAAGCCCCCGCTGCTGCTGCCCGCCTCAGCCTTCTCCGCATCCGCGACTTTATGCTCTCGTCACTTGAGCCCGCCCTCTCCCAGCTCGAACTGCTCCGTCCCATCCTACGCGCTGCCGATCCAATCCTGTACGACCACCTCCCAGAAGGCAATGCCTCGTTCGCCCTCGCCGGCACCATCACCATGTTTGCGCACAACATCCAGGACTACAACGACATCGCGAGGTTGTTCGACTTCTTTCTGGCACGTCATGCAGTAATGCCCGTCTATCTCTTCGCCGCTGTGGTACTCTCAAGACGAGAAGAGCTGCTCGAGATCGACAAGGAGGACGAGGATATAATGTACGCCGTCTTGGGCAGACTGCCACAGCCCTTCGATGTAGAGTTCCACCTCGCTCGGACGGTCGAGCTGTACGACCATTTCCCACCGGCAATACTACACAGCTGGGAATGGTGGAAGATTTCATCCTCGAGCGTCCTCAAGACTTCAGCCACAACCCATGACCTGCATCGCCTCACGCTGAAAGATGGAGAGAGATACTTTGCACAGCAAGAGATCGATCTTGAAAGACAAAAGGCCCTGAAACGAGCACTCGATCGAGCAAAGTATGCCAAAAAGTACATCGAGGTGCGCCTTTGGTACTACCGCCGATACGGAGCTGTTGGTCTCGCCATTGTCGTAGGTGCGTATGCGTTGTGGCTCGGCAGGAATGGCGGCTTCAGCAGTGGGCGGTATCCGTTGATTGGACGACTGGGCGACTTTTTGAAAAGAGCTCTCAGTGCTGCCGTGTAGGAATGCTGCGTGAAAAATAAAACGAGATAGGATTGATTTGAAAAAGTGTTTTGTGAAGATACATGGCATACACGAATGATAAGACGGCATATACACGGATACATAGAGTCTAGAGTTACGAATACCGATCTCTCAATACTTGTCTAGTCTAGTTGAAGGTCCCCCAACCTTCACAACTTAACCTTACAAGTCTTGCTCTCTTTAACCGACGGATCACTCTCACTCGTCGCCGTCAACCTAACCGTAACCTTCTCGCTCGCCCCCACCCCAGCCCCAACCGCAACCCTAACACTCGTCGTCTCTCCAGCCTTGGCATAGGCCAGCGCATTCGGCACCGCAACCTTCCACCCCTTACCATCCTTGATCTCAGCCTCCAGACGGTAGATATCCGAGCCGAGGTAGGCGGTGAGATCTTGCGGGTGGGCCGTGCTGTTGGACGAGGGAGCTTTGCCCGTGTTCTTCAGCGCAAAGGTGCAGTAGCTGGCTGTGTGGGAGGCGGATTCGACGTGGGCGTCGGAGAGCTTGACGCCGTGTTTGGCTGCGGAAGTGCCTCGCGTGGAGCGCACACCGACTGTGTATTTGAGGATGCCGGCGGCGTCGCGGGTGATGTCTAGCACATAGAGGTGTAGACCGTTAGGTGCGTCGATGTGTCTGAAGTGACGTTAGTAGTTTTTCTTATAAGGGTACGGGATGTGTATGACTTACTCAAACTCGCTCCCGGAGTTGGTGCCAGCGTGGAACAGCGCGTCGACTAGCTGTCTGTAGTCGCCGATGCTCCAGTACCTCGCTGTGCCGTTGGGCAGGTAGAAGTCAACGACATGTGCGTCCTGAGGGTTCGCGTCAATCACCCACTGGAATGGCTGTCGGCGATCACTGTTGCGCGTCTTGCTGATCATGACGCCGGAGTCGGGGCAGAAGGAGTCGGCGCCCATGCGGTCTACAACCTCCATGTTGTAGTTGTCGTAGGCGCCGCCGTCGCACAGGGCGTCGGTGGACGTGTTGCATGCAGGGGACAAGTCGCCTTCGGTGCCGAATGTCACGTTGAAGCCCATGAGCCCGGTGCCGGGGTCGACGGATCTTGCTGTTATCTCGGCGATGACAGGCCCGGATATAGCAAGTCCGGCGCGGGAGATCTGGAGGATGGGCGTGTTGTCGATGAGCGCTATTTGGTGCTTGTCGCGCATGGTGTGAAGTGAGCCCATGGAAGCGCCTTGTACGGGCTGAGTTCATGGATTAGTTTTGTACTTGAGTTTAGATTGTACAATTACTTACCGGAATCTGCCACCTTGTGTGAGGACCACCCGGACCGTTGAAGGAGCCGCGATCGAGCATGCTGAAGGGACCTGTGTACGCACGACGCGGAGGCACGCTGTACGGGTTGTTGTAGTTGTCACCGATTCCAAGAAGATGGGACAGTTCGTGAGCAAACGTAGCCATGCCACTTGATTCACCCTGTGTCGACGAGCCTCCGCCTGCGTTGGGCCAGATAGTTGAAGCCGCCGCCCAAGACGTCCAGTTAACATATCGTGTTTCCGCCCAGTTGGGTAGGGAGCTGTTCGCCGGCGGGCCAAACTCATCTGGGATATCCTCTTTGGTGAGAAACTTCATTTCTCCAAACTCTTGCCATGTTGACGACTCGTCTTGACCGGCTGAGAGGATAAAAGCCAGCTCAAACAAGTCTGCTGTGGCGTTGCCCACATCCGCACGCCAGGCACCAAGAGCGTCTGTTCGAAGGTCCACCGAGCAAGGTGGTCCCTCTGGACAGGCGCCTTCGTTGAAGCCCCCCTCTTCGTCGTCGACTCCATACTGGTAGGTGCGGGACGGCATTCGATATGGTCCAAAGACAGTAAGGTCGACACCATATTTTCCGAACGAATCACCCATCCAGTACTCATGAAGCGTATGGCCTTCGTTCAGATCATTCGGCGTATTGAGCAAATCCTTGTAGAACTTCGGCACATCTTCCCTCTTCAGTCCCGAGGCAAGCGGCTGCGGGTTACCAAAGATATCAGAGTTCGCCGGAAGGGTGACTACAAAGGGAGAGTCCGGATAGTCTATAGTCACCATGGCGATGTTGAAGTTCCGGTCTCTTCCTTTGCGTGCTGGGTCGCTCCAGCTTGTGCTTGGAGGCGCGACAAAGTCATCCCAAGTCATGTTGTCTGGATTTACCCAATTCTGTGCGTCTATGGGCGTAAACGGGTCTGGTGAACGAAAAGATCTTGGATGCGCCGCTGGGACGGCGGATGCGATGTTGAACATTGCATTCGCCAGGACGGCCATGGAGGCCGTTGAGCGAGCCATACTCGCGATCTACCTCTTTTTTGAGACTCAATGTACAAAGGCAGTACAATGACGGTCTCAAATCGAGATTGAGCGCTGCGAAAGTGAACGGAGGAAAGAATGAAGCTGCAAAAAAACAAAGATGAAAGAGACAAGCGCAATGCGCAGACCTATCTACAAATACGCCCATCGTATCTGTTCGGATCACCGTTTCACGGCACGGCAATACCAAAGATACCATCGCCTGGGAGCTCCGTCTGCATCCGCAATGGCATTGCTACGTAAGATTGGCATCCAAGACATGGGGAAGGCATATTGGGCTGCCTCATCTCGTTAGCTTGCAGCTTGGCAATGGCAACGCTATCTGCAGCGACCTGCTGTATCCAGCAACGATGCGTAAAGTTGTGGAGGCTGGTAAACCGAAGACGAGGGTAAGCCGGTTGGAAGACGCCGTGGGTGGAATGACGATGATGTTGTGCACCCGAGGTGAAGCTTTTGGCGTTGGTAGCGTGAACGTATCTGCAGGGTTCGAGCTTGACAATAGATTTCGGCGAGATTGGAGATGACAATATTTCCTCATTTGCTGATCTTTGCGCGACAGGGAGTCTTTGTATCTTGAGAAAGAAAGAACTGCTAATGTTGGCTTGGTGGAGACGGTACTTGCAGTAGTGGTAGAAAGTGTCATTAGAATTACATTGCGAACTTCCATGACAACCTAGTTGCCCTGACGGTAATACTAAATATCATGTCCATACACATCTTAATCATAACAACGTTTTTTGCTCCCAGACCCTCCCAACGCACCACCCATATATCAACAGGGTATCATAAATACATCAGAAGAAAACCGTGTAAAACGACGAATAACAACAACCATGCCTACGCACTCGGCGCCCGCCCACCACTCCTCTGTGGCCTGGAGAGCGGTGCTATACTCGCCCGATCCGCAGCTGCTTCATATATGTCTGCGTCGTCGAGATCACTCATACTCTCGGCCGTGCTGAGCATGCTGGCCCTCTTGCTCTGCCATTGCATATTGCCTTCACTCGGTGTACTCGATCGTGATGGCGTCATGGTGGGTCGGACAGGCGGCTGACGAGCGGACTGCGCATTGCCTTGGGTGATGGATTGGCGTTGAGAACTAGAGCGTGTTGTGGGCGCAGTGCTGCTGTTACTCCACCGCCGTTCCCTGCCTTCTGCAGAGGCGAGATCAGGTGTAGGGGTCAGGCTGCGCGAGGAATTGCGCGAGTGAGAACCAGAAGCATCCCTCCCTCGAAGCGTGCTAGGTCTCCGTTTCCGCTGCGAGTTGGAAGCGCCGAGGGACTGGGAGTGTGCGTGGGCATGTCCGCTCTTCTCCACGTCTGCTGCCCGCCCCGTGAAGCCTCTCGCGCGCTTCCACCCCCGCCAGCCTGTCCACCACAGGCGGCCACCCTCTTCGCGTGCAATCTCACGGCGGCGGGCTCCGACGCGCATCCTGAGCTCGGCGCGGCGCTCGTTCTCGCGCTCCCAGTACTCGGTGCGGTACATTTCCCAGTTCTGCCTGAAGTCGGGTGTGAAGGGCTTGGGCAGGAGCAGCAGCTTGATGTAGTCACCACCAGGCGCAATGTCTTCTTCGGCGTACTCCTTGCCATCTTCGATGATGCTGTGGCGTGGACGTCCCCCACGGGCGTCGAGGGCGTGGCTCTTCTCCTGGGCAACGTTGATGAAGTGGTAGGAGCTGCCGCCCTGCTCGCCGCCCCACAGGCCGCCCGAGAAGGGCACGATGAAGCGCGCCCACTCGACGAGCTCTCTCCACCACGGGCCGCGGATGACGACAATCTTGGCGTTCATGCCCCTCAGGCCGCGGTTGGCAACGCCGACCCAGCGACGCGGCCAGCGCACGCCTCTCTCCCACTGGCCGGTTGCCCAGAACAGCAGCGTGGTGACGACGCCGGTGATGAAGCCGACCTTCTGCAGCATGTCGACCAGCCAGTACTGCGAGCCGCCGATGCCCTTGCCGTCGTCTCTAGGCCGCAGCCACAGGAGGTAGAAGAAGAAGGCGATCCATACCGCGAGCAGCGTCAGCACGAACGAGTTCTGCCGCCGGCGCGCGCGGAGTGTGAGGTACTGGCTGCGCAGGCTCGCTTCGAGGATGAGCAGGTTGAGGTAGATCTGCGGCGGAGACGACGGCAGCAGGCTGGTCGGGTCGCTGAGCGTAGGCCGTCGCGGGGCCTTGAGGGCGGGGGAGTGGCCGTCTGTGTCGACGTCGTGCCGTGCATGGGCGTACGTGGGTGCGGATGCGGCGACGGCGGATGCGTTGGTGTGCGGCGCCGGGGCGCCTTTGACGATTTGGTCCAGCGACTGTGTGGGCGCCATTAGTCGTCGCTTCTCAGCCTCTCCATTTGCTTCGAGGGAAGCCCGTGTCGCGTGCGGGCGGGGGGAGAGGTATGTACCTTTGTTCACCTGACGGCTCGGCTCGCTTGCGAGGCGGTGAAAGCATGGATCCGCTGGCCACCACATGTACCCCACATTGCAAGCAACTAGCATGTGAGAGGCAAGTGCACCTGTGCAACCCTCCCCCTTGTCTACGTGTCGAGTGATGGCATGCAGTAGCGTAGGATTTGGGGAATCTGATTTCCGAGTATGAAGGTGAGAAATTACAAGAAGATGCAGATTATTGTCTATCGAAAGAATCATTACGCTCGCCAAAGAGAACATGTAGTAAACGTGCAGGGAACCAACAACACCGTATACACCTCTAAAGACCCTCGCCATCCTTTGACGCCATCTCATACACCCTCAGTCCGTCACTTCCCCACCACGCAGCGTCTACTGACCCGCTCTCTCCCGTCGCCTGACATCCTGCATCTCCTCCAGCATGACACGATTGAACTGCTCCCACCCATCGAGGTAGACGTGATGCCCCGCTTTGTTGATGATGACAACCTTTGCTTCGCCGTGGTCCCTCTCCCTCTCTTCTGGTGATGCGTCGGCTAGTAGACGTTTCTTCTCCTGCTTGACGATCCACGCGGCTGCTTTGCCGCCCTCGACGTCCATCCAGTCGTTTTCACCATACATGAAGACGATTGGAAAGCCGGTTTCTCGCTTGGCTGACGCAGAGGGGTGAGGGGGCGTGTCGCCGTCTACCGTAGTCCCATCATGTGCCTGGATCCATTGCCGCCCCACACCTTGTATTCTGCGGATGAGTGGGCTGCGTGCAAACGCACCAGGAGCCAGGAGATAGGCGAGGGCGTACTCTGAGCTCCCTCTTTGGCGGAAGAGCGAGTAGCTGTAGTCGTGCAGCGCCTGTGCTTCCTCTTCAGGCAACTGCGAGAAGCGCCGCGAGGTCCACCCTGAGACGAGGCGAGGTCCAAAGGGCCCACTCCAGCGGACAAAAGTGAATGGTGAGATCATGTTGGCTTCCCAGAGATACGTCAGCCAGCCGGGTAGCCGTCTTTTCGGGGGCTGCTTGGCGTCCTTTTTGGCGGCGTCCCCCTTCTGGCGTTGATTCATGAAGTTGTTGTTGTCCGCCGTAGAGGGCTGAACGCCGTTTCGCGTGTCTGCAGCGTCCTGGGTGAACTCGTTGGCCATGGTCGAGTCCTGCGGCTCGGGCATGTCTGCGTTGACAGCATACGGGTCCTCTGGTATCCCCACGGGCGAAGCCAGGATCAGCTTGTTGAGATGGCCCGGGTACTTGAGCGCATACGCCACTGCGAGGTAGCCACCGAGCGAGTGGCCCAGCAGGGTGAAGCGCTCCAGGCCGCGCTGGATGCGCCACTCCTCGAGGGCATCGACGAACCAGCTCTCGGCCTCGGAGATGCTGGCCTCCTTGTCCTTTGCGTGGATCTTGAAGGGCGGACGCGAGCTCCTGCCCATGCCGAGCAGATCGAGGGCATAGACCTTCCAGCCCTCGGCGCGCGAGATGGACTCGAAGTTGCGGTAGAAGAAGCCCAGGCCGGCGCCGTAGCCGTGCAGCATGACGAGGCTGTTCTCGACGTCCTCGCCCACGCGCTCGACGGAGAACTCGTTGAGGGCGCGCCCCTTGCCGCTCAGCTCGACCATCTGCGAGTTCCAGCGGCGCGGGCCATACGGATCGTTTGCCGCGTTGGTCGTCGTGTGGTCGGCCGTCGAGGGGGCGGCGGACCCCGTCTCGCCGTGTGTGGGCGTCTGCTCGAGGTGCGGGATGAAGGAGAGGACGCGGTGCTCGGTCGCGACGGGCGAGAGACCGGCCCACCACTGCCAACGTCAGCTGTGTGCGCCGTAGCACTGTTCACGCAGGACGTGCCTGGCTGAAGCCCTCGGACGCGCTCAGCGGGAACCACTTGGCGATGCGCCCCGTCTGCGCCTGGCCCTGCTCCCGCGCCCGCTGCGACGCCAGCGGGCTCTGCTGCCCCCGCTCCTTGCCGTCGGCGCTCGCTGCGTCCTGGCCTGCCATGGTGCTGTTGGCCTTGGTGTCGACGGTGATGGGAGTGCTCAGGCTCAGGCCAATGTAGCTCGCGCCCCCGAAGCCCACGCTCTTCTGGATGGTGCGTGAAGTCGGTCGGTAGAGCCGTAGCATGCGCACCCAGCGCAGCCTCGCAAGATGGTGGGGAGGAATGATGGCGGTGGGCGGTGCGACAGATCACCTCAGGGCGGATTCCCGAGGCGCTGTTGCGGTGCTTCAAGTACTGACGTAGCGATGGCGACCAGGATGAACAATCCTCTTGCCACGCATCTATCCCAACCGACCCATCCTAACCCCGACCATCCCGACTCGGTCCGCTGCGGACGACGCGCCACGGACACTCCAATTGAGCCGCCTCCGACGACCGCCTTCCCGCCGACCTGCCCTGTCTCACGCCTTCTCTGCCCGCTGAAGGTCAACCCTTGAAACGTGTCGCGCCCTCCGCATCCACCACGCGTCTCGCCGGGCGTACCATCTTCGGCAGCATGCATTGCGTGGCTGTGCTGTCTGACGGCATCCAAAACAGCCACAACGTCAGGCACTGAGCGATCAGCATTCACTGCGCCGCCTTGAACACGTCCATTACAACCAGAGTATTTGTTTACTGTATTGTGTATTACCTATCGACATCGATCTCGCCCTTACTTCCATCTAACTAACTAACAAGCCATCATGACGCGTACATTCGTCTAAGCGTTATCATCATTCGTATACTTCAACGCCAAACCAAGCACCATACAGGGAGAAACCCTTCACATGAACCTGTAGACCAAGTGATCAACATAGGTACACCCGTTGGCTTCGTATCACCCCACTCATCCTTACACGCGTCTGACATGTTGGCCTGGCCCTGCCTGACCTGCCCACATGCTATACACTCTTCAAATAATGCGTCCCGTCGGCCGGCTTCCAAGATACCCGTGCTCCTCTGCAACAATGGTGATGTTTGCTACAATCTGATGATTCTGCAGGTTGTGACGAACACGGCGTTGTGGCTAGCACGGCCGATAATTTGACAATGTAATTCTTCGTAGACGACCAACAGGGCCGTGACGCGCCCCGTAACCTTTGCAGATCGATCACCCCGTGAAGCGCTTCCAACCACGGGCAATCGATCCTGTCACAGGCAACGTATACACTTTTGAGCGCAGGGTGCTGCCGGAATGCGGAGCGAGAGGAACCCTCAAGCCCATTTTGAACGTAATAAAATCTTGCAGGCTCGGCGCCTCTCAGACGAACGGCTTTGGTTCATGCACACCCTGAACAGTGTTGAAGCTCTGCGAGCTCTGCGTCGACATCCTCATGTCATGCTTCGCGGTCGCAGGTCTGGACTTGGTCAATCGTCCGCCTCCAAGCTCCGTCGAGTGTCCTGGTTCCGCCGCCTTGGGTGTGGTTGCTGGTCGTTGGGGGATCGTGTACGAGTAGTTGTTCCACAGGTTGTCCGGGTTATTGTTTTCCGGCTGTTGAAGCATATCCGCTGACTGGGCTGCCTTGTTCTTTTTCCGTCCGCAACAGCAGCTTCGGCTGGCGTAGGGGTACACCAACAGTAGGTAAAGGGTAGTCCCGAGCAGGATTATCGCTGGTGCAATAGAGACGCATATTATGAGTGCCCAAGCCGTTCCAGTGAGTCCACCTTGCTCAAGGTCGACACGCTTCTGGAGGTGGGCAATCGAAGGCATTTTGTTGAAACGTTGGTGAAGGTATGACGGAGCGAAGTGAGGGTGAAAGTGGCGATTTCGAGATAATTTCGTGACGAGTGAATGGACGTATCAACAACACACGAGAGACGACTGCGTTATAAGAATGGACTGGGATGAGTATAGTTACAAAGGATCCATTATTAACAGTGCAAACAAGGGCGAGGTACGTGGACTTTGTACGCAAACCAAGGCGGACCACCTTTTCCGGGTCATATGACGCACCCGACTTGCTTGGCTTGGTGCCAACGATGTTCGGCGTCAGGGGTTTACGTACTGTCCAAGACAAGACTACTACAAGCGCGCCGTCTCTGCCGCGAGCCCGAATAGTTGGAGGATGGCTAGCGAAATGGGCGCCAAGGTTAAGAAAGTGTTATGACCTGGTGGCCAGTTAGCCTGATACGGTCTAACTAACGTCAGGGCACGCGGCGGCAATGATCTCATCGAGATGCAAAATCAAGGTATCTACACCCTCAAGAACCGTTCCACGATGCGATACTTTCCCATCAGGCGTAGAATACCGATATGCTGCATGCAATTTCGTGGAAGCATATGCACCAACTTCAGACCTACTCACTAGGATGTGGCAGATCCGATGGTAGATCATCCTGAATGATTGGCGAAGAGCCGCTCAAAGACGCTCGGTAGGGAGGGGTCAATTACCTCCATATTTAGCGACCAGTTTCTCGACACGAATCGCATCAGACACCCAAGTTTCGTGTCTGCCGGCCTCGCCCAGATCAACGGCTTTGAGGTTGCTGTGAGACGCGTCTGGGGTGGCTTTTGTCGCAGCCGCAAGTGTCGATCTAAACAACTCCTCGGTCTGGTTCCAAGGCATGGTCTGATCATCCTCGGCGTGCATGAATACCAATCGTAGTCTGGTGCATCGGCCTACGTGCAGGGTCTAATTAGCGAATGTGCCAGCCTCACCAACCTCACCAGCCTCACCGCTCCATCCGGTCTTTTCAATCCCAGCCCCAGCATTACAAACGTCCACACTAGGAATCCTCGAAACACAAATAGCGGAAACTCTCTCCGTCCTTGCCGTTTATATTTAGGCCGTGGGTCACTTACGGGCAAGATCAGCTAAGCGATCGGCGGACATCCAAGTGTCCTGCATCTTGCGGCTAAACCAGGCTTGAACGGCTGGTATGGTCTTGACCGGTGCGAGAACAGGAAACAAGTTGGCAATAGTATATGACGAGAAAGCGTTACCAGCGCTTGTGAATCCGGCGCATAGTATCAAACCCGCGAATTCTATCCCCAAATCAGCGTAATGAAGTGCTGTGCCCGCAACTACGGCCGTCCCCAGCGAATGGCCCAGGAGCACGATGCGATCTGGCGGTATTCTGCATGTTTTCAGGGCCCAGTTGACGATCGCTTCTGCATCGTTCAGTAGACCTGGCTCTGATGGTATGCCTGAGGACTTTCCGAACCCCCGGTAGTCAAAGGCCAGCACGAAGATCTTGTCGGACGCTCCCGAAGAGTACGATCTATACTCGAGAGTCCTCCGTTCTTGGGCTATCGTACCAGCATTCCCATGGAAATAGATGAGAAGTCGTGCCTCAGGATCATTGCGTAGCAGCTTGAAGGCAAGTCTCTCCTCCATGTTAGCGACGCCCTGTCGTTCTTGAATAAACTCGTCAGCATGACGAGCGTACACTCCTAGAGGTGCGACAAGCCACGCAAACAGTCTTTCGCCGTCGTCAGTCATGACGCGGAAGGGCGTGACCTGGTTTTCTTGAGAGTGTGAGCATCCATTATGATAGCGTATATTGGCTGTGGCCCATCAAACGTACTCAGGAAACCAGCTCTTTCGGGTTCATCGAGCCATTTCCCTGGAAACATGGTGATGTTGTGCAAGTAGAGCATCTCTGGTGTTTGTTAATACTGTTCAGTAGGGTTGGGGTTCGAGCATCAACTCACGTCTTTGCACCCACGGGATACAGCAGAGGAGAGTCGCTGGAATCCATAATCCACTGATGAACGAGAATGGTACGCCAATCGCACGGTAAAGATTCGAAGCCATCGTCGCGCGTCGTGATGTCGTGGGAGAATATGGCCAAGTGAGATTTGCAATCTCGAGACGCGCCTTGCGCATCGGATTCGCGTGGGAGATGCGACGGCTCTTTTCGCCACTAACGCGAACACCAGCTCATCCTCAACGTCCATCACATGTGTTTTTCCATGTCTCGCAGACATACAGCTGGTCGTGGATTTTGGACATTGGGTATTTCGCCAGTAACGTCCAGGATGCAAACCGATGCAATGGCGATAGCAAAGGCTTAGAATTACTCGTCATTGTGGCACGGGAATAGCTGACAACGTATGCCCCCGCTTCAAGATGTAGGCAAGCACGATGCAGACAAAGCTGTTGCCTGCACACCCCGGTCAGGCAGGCCATAAAAGATTCAAATTTCAACCCAGTTGAACAACCTTTTTGTCTGTAGCCAGCAACCTCACCACCGACCATCATTCCACCATGTCAGCTCTCAAAGCGTATCCAGGCTCGTGTCACTGCGGCAATGTCCAGTACCAAGTTCGGCTCAAATTTCCATCACGCGACACTCCGGTTCGTCCGAGTGCCGATATGATTCGTCTGTACAAATGCAATTGCTCGGTCTGCCAAAAGATGGGCTTCTTCCACTGTCGCCCCATCAGTCCAGCCGATGATTTCATCCTCACTTCACCGGCCACCATCGAGGAGCTGGGCGACTATCGTGCGAACGTTGGCAAGGCCGGCTGGTACTTCTGCAAGAGCTGTGGCGTACGCGTTTTCGGAGTCGGTGCAGCTTGGGAGCAGGTGGAGCTGAACGTTGAGGAGTGGGCAAGTGAACAACATGAAGGAAAGGAGACCAAGTTACAGAAGGTTTGGAGGACGAAGGGCACGACATTCGCAACTGAGGAAGATGGAAAGGAGGTCAGGAAGCTGGTGCATTACGTGAGCGTCAACGCAGTCACGCTCGAGCCTAGCGAAGACATTGACTTGAGGAAGTGGCACGACAATGGTTGGATAGGTTATGTGGAGAACAGAAGTCGTGATGAGGTAGAGCGTAACCGGATGGGGAAGCCATACAGCGGCGGAATGTATTGAGATTACCACACAGCTTCAACACAGATGTCCGAGATCAAAGCGTAATGCTCGTTTGAGAGAAAAGTTCAGTAACATACTTACTTGGTGTTTACACATTGCTGGTAAACTAACTTAGTTTAGCTGTCTGATCTTGTATCCGTATCGTATCTGTACTATCATAGAGGCTTTCTCTCCGTCAAGTTACGAAAGAGCGTTTTGGGTCCTGACCGTCATGTTACATTCTTCCACTCCCCTATCACGGCATTGGGTATCTCAAGCTTGATAGGACACAGTGAATTACCCAATATGTTGTGATGGTGGCCTTCGATGTCTTGAACCTCGCTTCAAACTACGCAACTCGACTAGACCTGTGGTAGGCTTTTCTGAGCACCCAAGGATACGGCCCGAGCATCTCAGCAGGTGAGTCGAGCTTCTATATCCAACAGACACTGCCGTACACTTGCCATTCACGGAAGCTGGCACACTGAACATATCTACTGACTACAGACTCGAATTCAGTTCCTTCTCATTTGCTCCCCTACGCGACGCGTGTCGAGTTTCACGTTGTGCTTAGTCTCTCAGAACGCGTCAGGATTACGCATACCAACCGTTTGCTTCTCACGTCCACCTACTGCGCTGTACGTATGGAAGGCCCGGTTTGGAATAGCCGTGTTTCTCACGGGAGGCGGCCGTGATATATAAGAGCTAGGCCCTGTTCCTCCTACCACAGGCCGCAGTTCCGGAACCGGAGGTAATTGTCCAGGAAATGAGTAGTAGAGATCGTCTGCGGGGAAATAGAGATCGTCTACTGGTTGCGGATGCTTTTTCAAAATAGGAGCCGGCCTCTGCGTATCCTCAAGGCTTTCTAGCTTCGCTAATGTTTTCGCGATCTCAGTTTCTCTTTCCCCCTTCTCTAGATCTGTGTAGGTCTTTTGGGCTTGGAATTTGTCTGGAACAGTTATCACCCGCTTTCCAGATCCCCGCCCAATAGGTCGAACTGACGAGCGTTTGCACTCTGGGTATCCGCCCTTGCATTTTGGACACCCGCCCTTACACTTTGGACACCCACGCTTATAACGTAAGTAGATCCAGACTCCAAGTGAGAGAAGCAAAATAATAGCTATGATGATGACAGCAGCGAGCACTAGTTTGATTACCATGTCATCACGAGTACGTGGTTTAGAGCCTTCGGGCAGAGGCGACCCAGTTGGATTCAAGGTCAAGGATGTGGCGGTAGATGGGGAGGCTAACGAGCTGCTCAGCCCGGTAAAGAAGCTACTACTTATTGTAGGTGTCGAGGTGACAATGAACGATATTGTTGTTCCATGAGTTGTGGAGGTTGTAGGAACAAACACAGTGGTGTAGGAGGTCTTGGTGACGGTGGCAAGACTACCAGTCATGTTAAAAATGTGAGACAAAGGTATTGGTTGAGAGTTGTTTCGGCGGCGTGTCAGGGCTTTTTGTTCAAATTTTTTGAATAGGGGACATGTGTATATGTGGACGAGCTCTTCAAATGTTGTGAACGAATAGAAATCAATGTGGATTTATAGTATACACACAATGTTGACGTAATTCACATGACTTAAGTGAGTATCTTTCCAGTATCATCGAGGTGAATTTTGCGCACGTTGTGCATGTCTAATGTTGAGATGATACGGGAACACTGTAGACTCTACAAAGAAGCTTACGAATTCATTACGAGATTCTCATTGGGTTGAATTTAGTCAGAAGCGCTCACAAAATACCAGACTTGGATGCCTGGCAGAGAGATGTTGTTGGCTCGGTAGGAAAATGTGTATAGGAAGGGGTTCACCGCGCCAATACTATTCAATAAGCGAAACGACTAATTTTCAGTATTTCCATCTGCTTTTGCTAATGCAAACGAGTATTCGCTATGCTTGGACCAGACCTCTTATACAGTAGAGTCTAGGACAACATCTTTCGGATGATCACCTTTTCCTACCTCATCTTCGTCCTCATCGCCATCACCAATGACAAAGGTCAAGTCATGCTTGACTTTGTCCTCAACATATGCATGGAGAGCATTGTCAATTTCAGCCGGCGAAACAGTCGACTGCATCGGAGACGTGGCTTTGATAGAAGTGACAGAGCCGTTAGCATCTAGCTTTTGTTGACTGTTGCGGAGGTCCTGCATCGGAATACCCTCGTTAGGTCCGCAAGTGAGAAACGTTCGGGGGGCACTCTGTGCCGCGAGCTCCGGCAGTGTCCTCACATCCCCAGAGCTTTGGTCGCTTTGATCTGTTTTCCTGCTCTTCAGGGAAGGGTCTTGCGACGGGACTAAGGTGTTCTGTGAGTCATATTTCACGATCCGTATAACATTCTCTAATGAGTTGGTTGAGTGCTCCTTGATCGGGGGAAGCCGAGGCTGTAGTTGTGGTTGCAGTTTGGTAGAGTCCTCTTGGTCTGCGAGTCGTTTTTTCTTCTCTACTTCCTCGCTTTTGTAGCGCCTACAACGTAGAAAAAGACATATCAATACGTACAGAAACACTATAACGCCAATAGTGCTAGCAGCAATCTTCGTTCCTTTGTGTTTGGAGTCTGGAACGGACGAGGATGGCGATGGATGGATAGTGTTGGCTCTGTTGAGAAGGGTGTGACTTGGGAGAGCGGGCATCCCGTAAAAAGTTGAGAGTATGTGGTTCAAGTTCAACAAAGTGACAATGCACGTAGTTGAGTAGTCCACCTTATCGAAAGTTGGGTTCCAAATTACCATGGGGCGAAAATAGCGAGAGGGAACTTATGGAGTGAATGCTGTTCATTTGGAAGTCGGTGTCGTTACTATGCTCATATCGTGAGAGTACAACGTTGAAAGCAAAGGATATCGATGGTGGACTAGTCGTTCACTTCCGTCTAGAAAAAGAAAGCAAGTAAAAGGCTCAACATTGTACATAGAAACCAGTAAGGCTCGAGGCCACCTTCAAGACTATCTGCTATAAACGCATATTAGTAGCCAGCATTGTGCGATGATTAAGACTACGTGTTTACAAGACCTTTTAATCGTTGCTATTAGGAGTGATGTTTAGCAACACCAATTGATTAAATTTATAGTTACAGTGCCGCCCAGCATGCGCTTGCCGCATACATTCATCCTATAGCTGCCTTTCCGCCGGCGTATTTTCCTTCTGGTCCCTCAAGATGCGCATCCAACACTGCCGATTTCCCATCAAGCACATGTTTGATGGCCTCTGGCAATAGCTTACTCAGTTCGTCTACCGTGCTCGCATGCGCTGCCCAGACCTCTCCGCCCGATGCTGCCTTCGCAATGCCCGAGTAGTCTGGTGTTGGTGCGAAACTGATATTCAACTCCTCGTTGCTTACCTTCGAGCCCTCGCCATCAGGATGCACCAACAACATAGACTTCCGCGGTGCGTTCCAGCCCTTGTTGTTGAGGACAATGGTCAAGATGGGGATCTTGTATCGCTGAGAGATCCAGTAAACGGAGCCAGGGACCGAGAAGAGATATGTGCCATCGCCGACGATCTGGCATACAAACTGTTTTTTACCTGAGGCGTCTGTTGCAAGCTTGATACCGAGAGCGCCTCCACCACTCCAGCCGAGACCGCCGCCTCCGCAGTTCAACCAAGAGCCTGGGAGAGTGACCTGTAATTGGTCTGCAACGAATGGGGTGTTAGTAACCGCTTCGATTGCCCAAATAGTATCATTTGGACAGAGCTTCTTAAGCTGTGAGCAAAGGTAGGAAGAGTTGTAGTGGCCTTTGTCGTCGACCTTGATGTCGCTAGCAATAGCCTCAAGTTTCTCCTTGTGGAAATCTTGCAATGCTGACCAACGATCTGTAAAGAGTTGACTAGACAGTTTCTCCTTAAGGTTAGTGTCGAGATAAGCGTTCAATTGGGTGAGTGAGGTATAAGCATCTGCCCGATAGCGCTGCACAGCATTCAAGTAGAAAACCGGCATCTGCTGCTTCAACGGGTCGACGTCAACGTGAAAGACCTTCGCCGTCTCGTTCGGGTGGCATTGAGTATTGATCCAAGGAACGTCGCAGTCCAAGACCAAGATGACATCAGCAGTCTTGATCCTAGGCTCGATACCGTATCGGCAACCAAGCCATGCGGGATGATTTGCAGGAAAACACATGTCGCTACCTCCGGTATCCAGGACTCGCAAACCCTTGACGTTATCTGCCAGCTGTACCAGCTCCTGTACAGCCGCGTGGTTGCGCCCTGAGTATCCTGCAATCACGAGTGGCTCTTGCGCATGTGCCAAAGCCTCTGCAATGGCCTTGATACCACTCGGAGGTAGCGCCGCGGGTTCGACCGGATTCCAGTACTCCATCTGCAAGTTGTATGGCGTGAGGTCCTCTTCCATGGCCTCGCGTGCTCCATACAGGTATACTGGGCCTTTCGGATCACTCATGGCGAACGACAGTGCGCGATTGACCAATTGCTGCTCAAGTCAGCTTCAGTAACTCCTCACTCTGGTCTGTAAATACCTTGACGTTTTTTCCTGTCTTGATTTCGCCGGTGTATCTGCAATACTGAGCTACAATTTGCTGTTTGAGTCAGTCCTAACGTCTTTTCTGATCATACTCTCTCAGGTACGAACTTTCTGGTCAGGGACATCTTGAATCCAGTGTATGTACTCAGTCCGGCTCCCGCGCATTTCGCCTTCAATCGTGTATGGAGACAGGCCAGCAAAGATGAGGACAGGTGCCCGGCCACAAGAGGCATTGTGTACGGCAGCTCCGAGTCCTTGTGTTCCAACGTCGACGTGAACGATTACGCACTGAGGTTTGCCAGTCAACCGAGCATATCCATCGGCCATTGAAAGGGCAACCATCTGATTTGGTGTGTTATTCAACAGTGGTCAACTTGCATCTTCGTATACGCACCTCATTCGGGCACGTGATGATCTTGGGGAATTGGCCCTTCTTCTCATTCTGGGCGGCGTTAGTTTCTGGTGGTCGACATGGCCATGTAGCATACCTGGCCTTTCACAATCGCCTCTATGATACTGGGATGGTCGGATCCAAGGTTCACAAAGACATACGTGATTCCTGCCTCCCACAAGGCCTCGAAAAAGGCAAAGGACGCTGTGTAACTATGGAAATGTCAGCATGTGGAGTTTATATGTTCAAATCCGAGCTAGTACTTACACCATGACTGCTAGAGCTGCAAAGAGACGTGAAGGATAGAGAGATGAAGCTCAACGAGGCTGCAGAGATATGCCCACCTCATATCTGATAGTTCTTGCCATTCATGTCATAAGGAGGCAACGCCCCCACCATAATGCGGGGAATATTGCAGCAGCAGGGGCATGTCGGCAGCAACTGCGGTGCGGTTGGTGGAGACGGCGCGGCAGTTTTCCGCATGGATGGCGTAGGGCTGACCTCGGGAACACGACAGACCAAATTGGCCTCGTATTAAGTTGTACATTCCAACATAGAGGATGAAACATTGCTTGTGGATGGACTGAATATCACTTGCACCTATGAGCCTCATACACAGGAGTCTGGTGCTGCGACGACACCGGCCTGAGATGCGTTTCATCCACCAGTTCGAGCAGCCTCCAGCGGTGGACTAAAAGAAGCTCTTCAGCGACCGGTATGTCTGTTTCCATATTCTTTTCCTGACCGTTCATTTTTCTCTACATCATGATATCAATACTGTCTCTTTGTATCTCTCTTGGATCACTTTCGCTTGTCCTCGCCGGTCCGACAACTTGCAAGCTCCCATCTCCTTCTATCTTCAACACATCAGACATCCCACTATGGCAGGTCGGGAAAGATATCTGCCAAGGACCACCAGATGTATACTTCATTAAACACAGTAAAGGGAAAGGTCTCGGCCTCTTCGCAGCCCACGATCTCGAAGTTGGCGATGCTGTGATGCGGGAACCTCCCATTCTGAAAATCCGCCCACCCGAATCGATTAAAGGAGCCGGCTACCCAATGGCTGCAATAACAAAGCTCGTTCGAACGGAATTCAACAATCTATCCTCAGACGCACAAGCGGCAATCATGGGCCTGACATACCACGCCACCCCAACAGAGAAAGAGAACTTCGACAAATTGGGCATTATATTTCGAACAAACGCCTACAACACAGGCAACGAGATCGGCCTCTTCCCCAAAATCGCGCGCATCAACCATTCCTGTCGCCCAAACACGAGCTACTACTGGAGCGAGAAGCTCAACAAACGCATCGTCTACGCAACTCGCCCGATCAAAGCTGGTGAAGAGTTCTCCGTATCCTACATCCCCCTTCTCCTCACCTGGGAGGAGCGCCAAAAGCGTCTGAATCGATACGGATTTACATGTACGTGCGAGGCCTGCGCGCAGGAACAAGTCGCGATGCAAGCTAGTGATACACGCCGTCTCACCATCAATAAAGCGTTTGTGACGTTTGAACATCAACTCCATCTCACTCCGCCGAAATCTCGGACTGAAAAGGAGCAAGCCGTAAAGAATGCTAAAGCCAGTATACAGCTTGCAGAGCTCGTGCAGCAAGAAGGTCTTGCGGATTACTATGCAAAGGCGTATAGGATTGTGGCGATCAGCCATGCGAGGGTAGAAGACTGGGAGCCGGCGGCGGTGTGGGCAAACAGAGGATATGAATTGAAGTTTATGGAGGATCCAGAGAGTGTGCATACAGCAGAAATGCACCATCTGACCAGTAATTTTATTGCAAGTTGGGAAAGTGAGCTGAACAGGACTCATCGTCATCATCATCGTTGAGGCTTGAGGGATCGTGAATTCATCATCTCCCGACTCACTGCTGAGCATGCCGTTGTTAATCATTGTTTTATATTCTTCATAGAGGATACAACTAAAAGTCATAGTGCTGCGAATCCAGAATTCAAACAAAGATTTAAACACACTCAAGGTATCGATGATCTACTTCTAAACCCAACACCCTGCCCATGAACGCCAGGTCATTCCAACACATGTCACCCGTCATTCGGTCGTCACAAATCGTCCACAGCCATACCGCCAGAACAAAAGCTAGATCTTGTAGACAATCCCACCACTATACATGATCTTGTTCCTTTCGCTAAGCGCCTCAAGTGCCTTCTCTGCCTCCTCTTCCCCAAATGCTTCTCTCCCACTGCCACCTCCCCGACCCAGCCTCGCATTCACAGCGGCAACAAGCGGCTCCATATCCGCGGCATCGTTGGCAAACAACGGGGTGTCGATGAGCTGGCCTAGTGCTGTCTGGAAGACCTGAAGGCGCTGTGGCGAGATGCCTTGAGATTCGGGCTGTGTGGGCGGAAGTTGGCTTTCTGGTTGTGAAGACGCAGCACTGACTTGTGAAGAGGGGCCGGCGCCGGTAGACGATTGTGTACGTCCTGTCATGCGTTGCGTCCGTGGCGTAACGCGGTAGAGATCCTCGTCCTCCTCTTCTTCAGGCTGATTGTCTTCGGGAACAGGCGTGTGTGTTGCGCCTGTTCGTTGGCTGCGCGTCGAACGACCGTCGGCGCGTTGCGATGGAGTGGCCTGACCCTCGTCACCCTTGTCGTCATCGTCGCCCGAAGACTCGCCGTCTGTGGACATAGCGTCTGGGTCGCGAACAGTCCTCCTCCGCTTGCGGCGATCGTCCTGAACGACCTCCTTGAAGAGGGCAAAGCGTAGGATCTGCTCCGCCACATCTGCGTCTCGCTGTTCGACGCGCTTTGATAGACGGGCTTTGGCGTGTGCTGTTGACAGACGAATGAGGGTTTCGAGGGTACGTGCAGTGATGGGGGAAGTGCGACGCGTCCCAGAGTCCAACTCATCGTTTCGCAATGCCGAGTACACGGCGACGATGTGGTCTGCGGCGCCCTTTGTAAGGATAGGCTTTTCACGCTTGGCGTACTGTATGTACTTTTTGATGAAGGGAATACCAAGGACTTCGGTCCTTCGTGATGCGCCGCGGCCGACTGTTATGGTCACGCCGGAGTGCAGCATGGGGTTGAACTTTTCGTAGACGTCCGTTGGGCGGTTGGCGTCAGCCTCGGTCTCGAGGCCCACGCCCAGAAGCTGGGCACCTTCCTCGCGGACGGGGGCGCCCTCTTCGGTGCCCGGCTGGCGGTAGCGGTGCATGCGCAGGACGTGCTCCGAGATCTGTCGGTCGCGCGCATCCTCGATGTCGTCGGTGACGACGAAGAGCAGATCGAAACGGGAGAGGAGCGAGTCGGGCAGTGCGATGTTGCGGTGCGGGTCCTTGTGGATATCGTACTGGCCGAAGATGGGGTTGGCGGCGGCAATGACGCTGCAGCGGGCGTTGAGCGACGTGTGGATGCCGGCTTTGGCGATGGTGACGGTCTGCTGCTCCATGACTTCGTGGATGGCGACGCGGTCGACGTCGGACATTTTGTCGAACTCGTCGATGCACACGACGCCGCGGTCGGCGAGGACCATGGCACCAGCCTCGAGACGCCGCTCGCCCGTCTCCTTGTCCGAGGTGACGGCGGCGGTGAGACCAACGCCCGAAGAGCCGCGGCCGGTTGTGGCGATGGCGAGGGGCGCCGTGTTGAGGACGAAGCGCAGCAGCTGCGACTTGGCCGTCGAGGGGTCGCCGACCATGAGGATGTTGATGTCGCCCCTCAGATGGGTGCCGTTCTCCAGGTTCTTCTCCTGGCCGCCCAGCAGCAGCAGCAGGATGGCCTTCTTGATGTAGTCGTGGCCGTAGATGGACGGGGCCAGCGACTGCGAGAGCAGCTCGAAGACGCGGCGGTTCTTGGCGATCTTGTTGATGTTGCGGATGTCGGTGTCGGTGATGGTGACCTGGGCAATGCCGCCGCCCGACTTGGACGACAGCAGGATGATGTTGTTGGCCAGGACCAGGGTGCGGAAGGTCGAGCTGCCGGCGCCGGCGTTGCGGCTGCCCAGCGAGCGGTAGATGCCGACCAGCTGGACGCGGTCGCCGGGCTTGACGCGGTCGACCAGGTCGTCGTCGAGGATGACGTCGACGGAGCGCGGCAGCTGGCCGGCGGGGGCGCGCTCGGGCATCTCCTGGATGGAGATGGTCTGGTGGTCGCGGTAGGTGCAGTAGCCGTACTCGGTCACCAGCGGGTTGCCCTCGCCGTCGTCGGTCGGGTAGACGCTGGAGCTGGCGGCGCCCGTCGTCATGGTCTGGTCCTGGTACTCGCGGAAGTGGAACTTCTGCTTGTTCTCGTTGTAGTGCACGCTCTTGACCACCTTGGGCCGCACCAGCGACGTCTTGGTGACGATGCCCTCGAGCGACACCATGTGGTTGAGCTGCGCCGAGCCCAGCGTGCGCGGGTTGCACGAGAACTCGCCGAAGCTGCCGATGTACGCGCAGTAGTAGACGACATCCTCGCCGCCCTCGTGCTTGGGGCGGTCCGAGAAGGTCTTGACCACGTTCTTGAGCGCGCGGTTGAAGGCGTCGGCGAAGTCGAAGGGCTCGTTGAGCAGCCCGTCGGCGAGCTCGCGGTTGTGCGTGCGCACCTCGTCGATGCTGACCGTGAGCCGCCGCTGCGCCCGGTTGAGCATGACCAGGATGTCTGGCCGGTAGCTGCGCGCCGACACGTCCTCTGCGCTGCGTCAGTACATGTATATCGTGGTGAAGCACTGCCAGACGCACGCGGATCTAGAAACTCCTCGACCAGCCGCACGCGCCGGCGCACGTCGTCGTCTCTGATTACTTCCGACATGGTGGTGCAGTGTCAATGGCGATGGTCTATCCCGCAGCCGGCAGTCGTCGTGGTGGGGCGTGGTGAGCAGGCGTTGCGTCGAGGGCAGTCGCGTCGCGCGTAAAGTGGCCTTGGCATGGTTTCCTGGGTGATCATCGCAGGCATCGCGAGCATCCAACACCATCCAGCATTCCAGAACTCCTCTGCCACACAGCCCCGACTACACTCTCCTGCCACCCACGTCACGTACCTGAACCTGCCCACATCCGTGACTTCCGCAGTGCATATCGCAACAACCCACTTATCGTGTCCATCGACCCTCCCAGCGCCATCACCAGTGGCTAGCCAACATGACGTCTCAGTGTATACGGCGATAGCCGGGGTTTAACATGAATAATACTAATCTCGCCGCCTTATTTCCGTTCGAGATGCACATCTTCTCGAGCTCAATTCGCTGGCTCTTGACGTAATCCGGCGTTGACGTAGGTAGTGCAGCGGAGTCCAGCGGAACGCTACTCATAGCTTGACGGTATAAAGGGCAGCAGCACATTTCCTACTAAACATCGAGTATTCACATCTTCCCGATTCATCCTCTCTTCTCTCCACCACCAAACACAATGGCCCCACGCGTCTTCCTCATTACCGGCACTTCTACCGGCTTCGGCGAAGAGCTCGTCAAGGTCGTTCTGAAAAACGGCGACCACGTCGTTGCTACAGCTCGCAACAGCTCCAAGCTCTCCTTCGCCGACGCCAATGACTCCAACAGCCTGCTCGTTGACCTCGACGTGACAGACAAAGGCTCAATCGACAAGGCTTTCGATGCCGCTATCAAAAAGTTCAACCGCATCGATGTGGTCGTCAACAACGCTGGATACGGTCTCTCGGGCCCCTTTGAGACGTTGTCAGACAAGCAGATTAGGCAGCAAATGGAGATCAACTTCTTTGGCCTGATGGACGTCACAAGAAAGGCCATGGAGACAATGCGGGACTTGAAGACGGGCGGCGTGATCCAGCAAGTCACCTCTATTGGTGGTCAACGCGGTATGAACTACTTCATGAACACTTGTAAACCCTTACTTACTTTTCAGGTACTCCATCATTCTCCATTTACTGCGCTAGCAAGTGGGCTGTCGAAGGATTCACCGAGTCCCTCGCTGCAGAAGTCAAGCCTGAATGGGGCATCAAGTTCACATGCATCGAGCCCGGCGGTTTCCGCACCGACTGGAGCGGCCGCAGCATGCAGTTCGGTGAACTCGAAAACCCTGCGTACGATCACATGGACCCCAAAAAGCTTGCCGAGGGCCGCCATCACAAGCAGGCTGGTGATCCGCCAAAGGCAGCACAAGTCTTTTATGACTTGGCTATCATGGACGACCCGCCAATGAGGTGCGCGGTTGGTACTGACGCTTATGCGGCCATGAATGACAAGCTCGAGAAGTACAAGGAGAGTGTGAAGAAATTCGAGAAGTGGAGCACAAGCACCAATGTTGATGAATGAGGCATCGGGCTAAACGCCTAACCGTGGAGAGTATACCGCGAGAGTTGGTTGTAGGGCGTGCAGCCTGCTCCAATACACTACGATTGTTTTAGATTCGAAAGACCAGTTAGATAATGGCGACAAGCATGAAAACAACAAAGTCTATTTTCACTACTACCATCCTACGTGTCCATATGTCAGTCGTGGAGAGTCTATTGACATTATAGTAGCGACGACTGGGACGTCCAATGGGCAACGCCTGCAAATTTGGTCTCACAAAGTTACGCCTGCTACGAGCAAGGCGTTCCATGACACAAGTGCGATGCTGTGAGCATAGCCACGTTGTCCCCCAATCGACGGGTTCCTGGGCTGATCACTCACCACGTCTTCAAAGATATCTCACCACGAGGACGCCTGAATCTCCACATAGCCAATCATTCGCTCTAAGCAATCTATCAATCCATCGCATAACTACATTTACTCCATTCACCAACTCGTCAACCGTCTATACAGTTAGTAGCCTTGTCTACAAGTGGCACAACGTCGCACCCAGCAGAGTTCGCGCACCATAGACCAACAAATACACCGCACGTGGCAGGTATCACGCAGTCAATCTTTCAGCTCTCGAGTCGAGCATTCCATGGTGACATCATTGCTGCGACTTGAAGAGACACTCCGTGGTCACGCATGGGTGAGGATAGATTTCGTCCCTCTTCCAAGGTACGAGTCAGGCATATCCCGAAATGGTGACAGGGGATCCGTTCTGGCATTCAAGTCTCAGCTATGGCACCAGCCATGTTATACAACCATGCTCAAGATGCCCGAAATAATGCAGGAATTCTTGTTGTCTCCCAACATCACCAGCTCACCGCTAATTGACTCGACAACTTCTCCCGCTCGAATACGCACGTCTGACTATGTTACTAGATTGTAACTTATCGAGTGTGACCGAGCCTTTGACACCACAAACAACAGGGAAAGGCTACATGCCCACCTGATGCCTACTACCAGTTCTATCCATGTTGCCAAGTCCATTGGTTCACGCTGCGCAGCTGATCCTCTGACATGAGATGGTGAATTCAGCACTCACATCAGCGCCGTTTGCGTTGCTGGCGTTCAAGGGCGGTTGCGGTTGCGGTTGTGGACGCCTACGTTGTCGGCATGACCCTGGGAAATTTTCCTATACTTCTACGACTATCGCTTCTACTCTATATATTCCGTTGGGTTTGTCTTCTTGTCAAGATGATCTCAGCTTTACAAAGTCTCAAATATCCAAACATCCTCTCCTTCGCCATGGCGATCCTCCTATCCGTTTCCATAACCATTGCCTCTTTTCTGCCTTTACTTGTACTCGGTTCCCCAGTGCCGGTACCTCAGGCCTATACCCCAGAGCCTTATAGCTACCCCGAACCGGAACCTTGCCATGGAAACTGCTCTTGGGTTCATGATCCAAGTATTTTCTACGAAGACGGTGTGTACTGGCGTTTTGTGACCAGTGGAAATATTGGGGTTTCCGTTGCACAATCTTTAAATGGACCATGGGAATACAGGGGTGCGTTGTTGCATGAGGGGACGAAGATTCAATTGCGGGACGATCAAGATATCTGGGTATGTGCAACTATCTTTCAAGAGAGTGTTTGCTGTGGAAGAAGCTGATCTGACCCGCAGGCGCCCTCGATCTCCAAAAGAGACGACACTTACTACGCTCACTACTCAGTCTCTTTCTTTGGCTCCCAAAACTCCGAAATTGGAGTCGCAAGCTCAACCTCCCTCAAGCCAGGTACTTGGACAGATCACGGCAGCATGCAACTCCCTCTATCTACTGCATACAACCTCATCGACCCATATGTCTTCCGAGACGGCGAGGATTCTGATGCCCCGACATACTTTACGTGGGGTAGCTACTGGTCTGGCATCCAACAGATCGAACTTGCCCATCACAGCGAACTGCTGGCTTGGGCGGGCAACGAAGCGGACATAGTGAACATCATCTCTAACACGACCTCCTCACCTTCTGTCGTCGAAGGTGCCATTCAATGGAAGAAAGACAAATGGTATTATATCTTCTTCTCTGTCGGGCAGTGTTGTCGGACGGAGAAGGAGCTCGCGCTTCCAGGAGATGAATACCACGTTGTGGTGTGCCGCTCTAATGCCGCTACTGGCCCTTACTTCGATCGAAATGCGAAGGACTGCACGAAGGACAATGGTGGTACGACGATTCTGGCGAGCCATGGGGACATATATGCGCCTGGGGGGCAGGGCATCTTGGTTCATCCGGACAATGGAAAGACAGTCATGTACTACCACTATGGTAAGGTAAATTCTGGTCAATTATGATCAGAGCGTCGCTAACAAGAGTAGTACGTCGCAGTGTGGGATACGAGGCGCACCAGTTCTTCTTCGGGTTCAACTACCTAAGTTGGGAGGACGGGTGGCCCGTAGTCAGCTGATAGTTAAGTTACCCGCGAAGAGTTGGCTTGCTTCACGGTCTGGTTGGACTCGTGGAGTCTTCGCAGAACACATCTTGTTTTGGGGTGGGAATTCCTCAAGTGAATGCGCTTTTGGTGTTTGTTCAAGGCTTTTCTCTGGCGATGCGATAATTTCTCTCGAGACGGCGATCTTGGGGGTCTTTCTTTTCACATAGGAGCTTTGGAATGTGCGCAGATCTTAGCTTTTTGCTCTTCCAGATGGCTATTCGGAAGGTTTAGCGATGCTACGGACTCATGAGTAACGATTGTATACTTACTTGTCACCTGGCGGCGCGATTTGAAATAAATCTTTACCAGGTTTACCTAAGCTTTTGTCTGTGTGATGATAGATATTTACGTGCGCTCAATGTCATGTTTCACTCCGGGGAGACGCGAAGTTGATATCTACACTAATATCTAAAAGTGTTCTAGAAGTTTTGCTTGTAGAGAGCACACTGCATCTCGAGTCACATAGTGCACCAGAGTCATCTGAGGCTTGATTTAATCTCGACATCGGCTCATGGTGGGGGTTGGTTCGACCAATCACGTAAGATCATGTACAACTAGACGCCGGACATGCCTTCCGAAAGTTGGAGGGGTTCGGCGAATTTAACCATCCTGTCACAGGCAGACATTGCAAAAAAGAAGACTCGAGTGAGCGGACCTCATCAGGGCTCTTAATAGAGCACGCGACTGTTGCAAGGAAGACAATGCAGCATGTGAGACTCTGGCGCGATCGCGGGGCAGAAACTTAGTCTAGAAATAGCCATGGTACAGCCACGCTGACGTCAACGCTCCGGCTGTTCCGTTCTTGCCGTAGGTACCGAGCATCCATTGGCCAAGCTCGGCGCAGTGAATACCTGGTTTGCACCACCCACGCCAATCTACAAGACGAGCGAGTGCTGCCCCGCGCACAGCCTCTCTCTTCCAGCCCCACCTTTCACAATCGTGTCTTAATTCAACGACCTCAGCGTTGACGCGGCTTTGATATGTCGTCCAGTAATGGTGGTGCGCCGAAGCGCAGCCTGAGGAACAAGCTATTCCACCCTTTCAACCACAAAGCAAGCGAGAAGATCGAAGAGATACAGGAGAAGCTCGAGCATACGAAGCTGGGCGACGCACATATCAAGGCTGTCCACGTCAAGAACAAGCTTGGAAAGTTTACTAATCTGGTCAATGCCAACCATCGACATGACGAAGATCACGAGAAGGCAACGGATGCGAAGCGGAGTCGCGTCGCAGAAAGCCACCGATTCGAATCTTTTGCGCCAGAGAGAGACGGCAATCTGGTGAAGTGGTATGTGGACGGAAGGGATTACTTTTGGGTGAGATTTAGACGCTGCATTTACATTTCGAAACTTCGTTGACGAAAAGTAGGCTGTTGCGGAAGCGTTGGAACAGGCGAAGGAGACCATATATATTGCTGACTGGTGGCTTTCTCCTGAATTGGTGAGATGGCATGCAATCATTGCGGGACCAAAAGCTTATATCTGTAGTTCTTGAAACGGCCTCCCTTCTACAATCAGAAGTCTCGATTGGATCAGATTCTCAAACGTCGTGCGCAAGCTGGTGTCAAGATCTATATCTCTGTATACAAGGAGGTAAGTAATTTCCATGAACTCCAGATGTAGCACAACTAACGACCTCAAAGGTGAGCGCAGCACTCACTTGCAACAGTCAACACACCAAGAAAGCTCTAATGAACGATCTCTTCGAGAAAGATGAGCCCGGCTATGGTAACATCCGTGTCATGAGACATCCTGATCACAACGTCTTTGAAAATGCCTCGGATATGACGTTCTACTGGGCACATCACGAGAAGTTCATTGTCATCGACTATGATATGGCGTTCATCGGCGGATTGGATCTCTGTTACGGACGATGGGACGAAAAGCAACATCCACTTTCCGATGTACATCCCTCGGGAATTCAGAACCAAATCTTCCCAGGCCAGGACTTCAATAACAACCGCATTCTGGATTTCGAGGGCGTTGAGGACTGGAGATCCAACAAATTGAACAAGCTCGAGTACGGCCGTATGCCGTGGCACGATGTCTCTATGGGCATCATCGGTCCGGCTGTCTATGACATTGCGGAACATTTCGCCTTGAGGTGGAACTTCGTAAAACGCGAGAAGTACAAGCGTGATGAACGATACGATTGGCTTACTTTGGAAGGCCGGGAGGGCGAAGATGAAGATCTCATTGGAGTACAGAGGCCGAAGTACCCCGTTGGAGACTACGTCCATCACCCCCAGACTCCACTCAGATCAAAGAACCTCGACAACCGTGGAACTGTCCATGCGCAGATCGTCAGAAGCAGTGCAGACTGGAGCATGGGCATTGAACCAGCGGAGCACAGCATCCAGAACGCCTATTGCGAAATCATTCGGAACGCCAAACACTACGTGTACATTGAAAATCAATTCTTCATCACAGCGACCGCTCAAGACGATACTAACGCAGTACATAACCAGATAGGAGCCGCCATTGTCGATGCAGTTGTGGCGGCAGGGAAGGAGGGTCGCAACTTCCGAGTTATCATAGTGATCCCAGCAGTTCCAGGCTTTGCAGGAGATCTACGAGAAAATGCAGCAGCCGGGACAAGGGCCATCATGGATTACCAGTTCAAGAGCATCTGTCGCGGTGAACACAGTATCTTTGAGAAGGTCAAGGCCCAAGGCATTGACCCGACCAAGCACATCTTCGTCTTCAACCTCCGTTCGTACGATCGTATTAATGTCACTGATACGCTCAAGAAGCGTGAGGCGCAATCCGGCATGACGTATATGGAATTGGAACAAGCCGAAATCGAAGAACTAGAGGCAGATCCTGATGAGGGAGAGGAGGCACGTAAGCGTGCAGCCGATTTGAGGGCGAAGTTCTCGAACCAGTCACAAGACGTTGGAATGGGTGACCAGGGTGGAATTCTTGATCCCGACTCCATCGCCGATGATGCCATGCTCACGGACAAAAAGCCCAGCACTGAAGAGTGGGAAGGTGACCCAGAAGAGGAAAAAGAGCACTTTTTCCAAGAAGAATTGTACATCCACGCCAAACTCTGTATCGTCGACGAGAAGTATGTCATCTGTGGCTCGTCCAATATCAACGATCGATCCCAGCTTGGTTTCCACGACTCAGAGTTGTCTGTCGTCCTACAGGACAAAGATGAGATTGATATCGAGCTAGATGGCAAGCCCTACAAAGCGGCGCGCCTCGCGCACGATCTTCGCAGCAATCTATGGCGGGAACACCTTGGCCTTCTCCCACCTCAAACTCTCGACGGATCTGAAGACCCCAATGCCCAACCCCCGGGTCACTCACCCAATGACACCCTTCCAGGCCCCGAAGCCGATTTTGTCTCCGATCCGCTTTGCCCCAGACTCTGGGACGAGTGGTGTGAACGCGCATCCACGAATACCGAGGTTTTCCGGACTCTCTTTCATGCCGACCCCGACGATTGTATCTTGACGTATGAAGACTACGACTCGTTTACACCAAATCCCAAGGCAGACAAGGACCATAAACAGGGTCATTTGTACGACAAGGTACGACCTGTCAAGGAGATTCGAGCAGAGTTAGACCGTGTGAAGGGGCATTTGGTTTGGATGCAATTGAAGTTCCTGGAAAACGCAGATTTGGCGGAGAAGGGGCTGGCCGTCAATTCGTTTACAGAGAGTATCTACACTTGATACTCGATGTAGAGTGCGTGGGCTTGTCTCGGGTGCATATTGTGTACTGAACGGGTATTCCACCTGGGAGTGCTGTAGGCGACTTTGATATCGACGCGTTCGCAGGAGATGATTCGTTGCTAGTATGGTTCCGCGGGTATGTTGAAGTTGATCTTATGATGCTAATTTATCATTATTGGAATAATTAGTTACTCTATTTCGTTTTTTGATCCTGCACTCAAGCCCTAGGCCAACTGAAGGCGACCGACTTCTTTGCTATCAGTTCCCTATCTAGATGAAACAATTAAACCCATTTAACATCACGGGTCAATTTGACGGCGGAGCAGGGCGACCATGCTTCGAAAACTACCTTACTACTCGCGCTTCGTACTCTCAGCTGCGGAGCCTGGAAAACGAAACAAAGTTGGGGGGTGTTTGTTACGAATAACATTGCTATTGGGAAAATCCTGGATCTAACATGATTGAAATGCATGGATACGAGACTGGAGCCGCGACCTAATGAAGACAAGGGGGATCACGGTACTAAACTGTCGATTGACTTCTGACCAGCCTCATATATTAGTCACCTGCGAGAACTGACCGACCGGTAATTAACGAGCCTCTGGTATCAAGGGTCTAATCATGAGATCCTGCTCATTCCGCTTCAGACTGCTAATTAATCTTGCAGATCATTATCCACATCTCAAACGGGGACTTTTCCGGAAATACTGGAGCCGCCGCATGATGTCAGAGCAGGCATCAAACATTTGCCTCTCCTCGATACTATTCATTTCGATATGAAAACCCAATGTGTTGATCTGTGAGTCTCTGCGAACTTCAACGGAAAATACGTCTCAGGCAATGGCTCTCGTCAAACATGGATCCGAGCAAGATTGGGTATCGATGCGCACTGGAAGTGGGGAAACGAAGTTTCATGTAAACCATTCGATTCAACACCGCCTTTATTGAGCGAAGATATACGAACGAAGCCGACGTACTTGTGTGGCAGTGGAATAGCGGAAAGTGTACCGTTGCTGAATGTGGTTGTGATCAAAGCGGGTTCCTGCACCCGGGCAACCTACGGAATCATCCACTCATACTCGTACACACAAGAAGGTGACGGACGCTCCATGAATGACCCCTTACAATGAGCTCGGTGAAATAGTATCCTCCAATCTGAATTGCGCAGATTGACTGCCCCGGTGCTGAGTGTTGTAGCAACATCAAATATATACCGGTGTGTGGGCACTATCTATGGCAACGAAATTATCCCTACTTGCTGTGGTTCACTCTTCACAATGAAGCCACTCGTTTGTTTGAGTCTCTTTCTGACAGCCGTCTCATCTTTAAAGTTTCATGACTCCCCACGAGGCTTGCAAGATACTCAGATTCGGAATGAAACTACAGCGAACATAGCTACTCGCATACGCCTCAACCCAGCCAAAATTCGCGATTCTGGCGACAAAGACTTCCTCACTTGGACCGTGCCCAATGCAGCCTCGACAAAACTCACTGTCAAAGACACAAGTCTCTCCCTCTCCCTCTCCGTCGCGAGCGGCAAGCTGGGTGGAAACTATAACAAAGCCGTATACACCCGTATAGTCAGTTCACTCGGAGAACGTGTCGTTGGCGAGGGGATCTCGACTGAAAATGATAACGGCGACAACGTAGGAGGTGCAGCTATCACACTCACCATACAGGGTCTTTCGACTGGCGAACACTCTCTTCTTACATGGCACAACGCCTGGGATGCACTCAAAGAGACCGCTTCTGTGAATGTTACTGTCAACGGCGGGAACTCGGTCAGCGGCATTGCACAATCAGTTCGCGTTGATAACATTTGGGAGGCTGCTGCTTCGTTCGTAACTTTCTCAGCTGTTGAAGGACAAGCCATCGAAATCGTGTTCGCGCCTGACAGTAGCGGCGATGGCCGTGTTTTTCTGAACGGGTTCCAAATCGATAGCCCGAATGTTGAGGACCAGATCAGCTTTCCAGAGCCCGCCCACCAGAACGAAAGGATCGAAGTCTCAGGTGACGGTGAAAAATCCGTAAGGGCTAGCTGGAAAGCTGCGCAAGCCCGGGATGCTGTATACAACGTTTATCTTGGGACTTCGCCAACCACTCTGAAAACGGTAGCAACCAGTTTGTCAGAAACGAGCACTACTCTACAGGGGCTCAACTCCATGGACAGCTTCTACTGGCGTGTAGATGTTATTACTAACAATAAGACCAGCATTGGTCGGACGTGGACATTCCGTGTTGCGCAACTTGCTTTCCCAGAAGCTGAGGGCTATGGGCGTTATGCCCGTGGCGGACGAGGAGGCCAAGTTATCCACGTTACTTCACTTGAGGATTCAGAAGCGGAAGGAACGCTTCGATACGCTTTAACCATAGCAAATGGACCGCGCATCGTCGTCTTCGATGTAGGCGGCGTCATCACCACCAAGTCCAGGATGACTGTCCAGGGCCAGTACATCACCGTTGCTGGTCAGACGGCGCCTGGCAAAGGCATCGTCGTCCAGGGTTATCCTCTCGGTCTGAGTGGTGCTACGGATGTCATCTTTAGACATCTGCGCGTTTTTCCTGGAAAGGTGTCTAACCAGACTATCGATGGTATGGGAATGCAAGGCTCCAACTTTTGCATCTTCGATCGATGCAGTATGGGTTGGACGATCGATGAGACGTTTTCCTCTCGCGATGCACACAACATCACTCTACAGCGCAGCATGATCAGCGAGCCACTCAACATCGCTGGCCACAAAAATTACCCAGTGGGTACACAGCATGGCTACGCTGCTTCTATTGGTGGCGAAGTTGGCTCGTTCCACCACAATCTGATTGCACATGCTGAGGGTCGCAGTTGGAGCATGGCGGGAGGTGTGGATGATGAGGCGCGGTTTGCGGGTATGCTGGACATCCGCAATAACGTTGTCTACAACTTCGGCGACCGCGTGACGGACGGTGGTGCGCACCAAGCACAGTTCGTTTCGAATCTGTACAAAAAAGGTCCTGCTTCGACACGAACGTACGCCTTCCGAGCACAGTACGAGGACGATATGCCCGGCACACAACAGTATTTCTGCGAAGGCAACGCGATGCCAGGTGTTTTCTCCGAGGACAGCGAACAATACGTCTCCGATGGCACAGGCAAATCTTCCAACGTGGCTTGCTGGGCGGATGTAACGATCGGTAATGTCACATACCAAAAGTTCGTCCCTGAGCCGTGGTTCGAAAGTCATGTTGAGACACAATCCGCTACCGAAGCCTACAAGCGCGTTCTGAGCGACAGTGGCGCATCGCAACCCGTCCAAGATGATCACGACAAGCGAATCGTGCACGAAACACTCAATGGAAATACAACTTACACGGGAAGCGTGGGCAAGAAGCATGGTATCATTGACAATCCTGCTGATGTGGGAGGTCTTGAGGATTTTCCTTCTGTCAGCCGCCCTTCCAGCTGGGATGCTGATGGCGATGGCATTGCAGACTGGTGGGATGGTTCAACAGGTGGTGACGGATACACTTCCATCGAGGGATACCTCAACTTCATGGCTGATCCTCACTCATTCGTTGCGCCATCCACGTCAGTCGAAATTGACCTTGGTGTACTAGCTGCAGGCTTTGTGAAACCTAGCTTTTCTATCGATGGCGCCACAAAAGGATCTGTAAAAGTCAGCGGTGGAATTGCAACTTATACTGCGATGCAAACTGGGGTAGATCGCCTTACGATTTCAATCGAGGATGAAACTGGGAGCAAGTGGACACGAATTGTTGGAGTTGCTATTTTTGAAGGTGCAAATGATATATAACAGGGAGGTGACGAAGTCAATAGCCTGTGTTTCACAGAGTGGTCAAGTATGTAATGATTGCCATAAATAGCGCGTGGACAACCTCCGTTTAGACCATAGGTACATTTCTATGTGCTTTCTGTCCTAATGTAGTGTATATATTCGAGTCCGCCTTTGTGTTCTTGTCTTCGATCGAACATGTATATCTTCCATCCCACCGAGAAGGATCATGTTTGTCAATACCTATCATGCTGCTGTAGATATACGCTGACTATATACGTCTGAAGGTTTCGTCTACTGAACGTTCGATTCGATTCCAACCTAAGCGGGATACGGTACCGGCACCGGATACGGATTACCTGCCACGGTGCCGGTAGTCGGGTTCTTCAGACAGAACGGCACCTTCTTCGAGTTGGTTGCCCCATAGGTATTGGTACCTGGTGCACATTGGTCGAAACCATTTTGCATCCTGTTCAACTTGCATGGGCTTGGCTTCGGATAACCGGGATAGTTGGTTGCAATTGCCTGTGACGGCGGCGCTCCGCTGGGAGTTGGACATCCGAAGGAGCCAAAAGCGGCGGTAATTGTGTTGAACGCAGAAGAAATTGTACTGAGCACATTACCGAACTCTGATATGAAGTTTCCATAAACAGCTTGCTCGATCTGGCATGCAACGCCATTCCTAGTAGTTCCGCCGAAGTCAGCAAGGCCAAAGGAGCCATTGAAGGAGCCAGCAGTCCCAGTGTTGGCGCCGAAGAGAAGCGGGTTTTTGAGGATGGCAGCAGCTCCGGTGTAAAGTGTGATTATCCCATCGATGCCTTCACTGAGGAACATTGGGGTCCCGCGACGGTACCAACCTTGAGGAGGGATCTGCTCAGGGACATAGACCACACTGCCATCGCTGTTGAATTGAGCACCGAGGAACGATGCGATGGAGGCTTCGTTGGCAACACCACCCGCGCCTATGGTTCCGTTCGAAAAGAATCCAGGTATGAAATACGTGGCACCGATCACGAGAGCGGCCTGAGGTGGGAAGAAGTAGAAGTAGGGATTTTTGTTGCGCGAGTTGGTGTACTGGTTGGCGAAGTGATGGGTCACAGCAGCGACGTTGTACTGGCCGGCACCGACTGTCTTGGCTTGATTCTGCAAGTCGAGAAATACGGAGGGGCTGAGGTTGTGGTTGTCGCCATTGCAAAGGTAGAAGTCGCACCTGTGCATCAATGATGAGCTGGTTGAACCGCAGATAATTACGTAGGCAGGAAGTACTAACCTGGTTCCGGAAGCATCTCCCTCCTTGAATCTCAAATGGCCACTCAGACCGGTCTCTGTCCCAAGAGCGGCGCCGAGGGGACCCGCAGAGTTTGTGCGAGAATCAGATCCTCCAATAGAAAATCGCATGGTAGGAATATCACCAGCGAATACGACAGAGCCACCAGCAAGGAACGCGGTGAGATCAGCCCCCATGTCTGTGAGGAGAGTAGGCTTGGGATTAGCTTATGTCACACATGTGCTCCTCGTACATATCAACTTACTGAACACATCTGCACTGGCCTTGATAGTCTCTGCAACCGTGACAATCCCACTGCGGGAGATGTATCCATGGTTAGCAAGCGTGTTCAGTCCTGGGCATACTCCACGCTGATCGCTAGGTTTGGGATCTTGATAGGGGTAAGCTGCCTCAGGGAACTTCTTGAGACCCACAACGGTAGTAGGCAGAAAGTCGGATAAGGGGTGACTTCTACAGCCAGTGGTCTGTCGCTTGCCCAAGACGTGCTCTTCCGTGGTGTCACCTTGGCATTCTTCGACCGAATCGAAGTTGGCGTGAAAGTCCTCTTTCTCTTTCAATTGCCTGGTGTAAATATCCTCAATCAAAGCCGCGAGCTCAGGATCCCTTTTAATGGCATCGAGACCCCGTTTAGCTTTGTCTTCGAAATCCGCGTTCATCCAGGGAAACGCCGACACCCCCGAAACAAGTACCAAATAGATAGACTTCATTGTATTGAACTAGGAACGAAAAAAACACCCAGGTGATCAAGGAAGCTTGTATTGTTAGAAGACGATGTGAATCCTGCTGTTAATGAAGGAGAGAACATGTCTTGTCTCTTGATCTCTGACGAAGAAATGATCAAAGAGGCGTTTGCAGGCAAGCTAGTAGATTCCCGCTCATTTGAGACCCTTGCTTTTCGATAGTCTGTATACCACCCCCAGGCAGAAAGTCTCGACCCACAACTTGCGGGTCTGGGAGCGGTGAAAAGGCACCAGAAAAGCCAGGTGGCAAACATGTTTTGTATCGGTAGAGTAATCCTCTGTAAAGATTTTGCTGTGGCCCTGCATGTATGACTGGGACAAGCACTAGGTGAAAAGAACAAGATTCAAAGGACCATGGATCACTGCAGACGTATCAAGAGAGGTTGTAGTTTCAGCAATTTGCATGAGTAGCTACAGAGCTCAGACTGATAACACCGCCTGAAAGCGTGTGAATGGCTGGTTTATTCAACCACCTCAGACAACATGTATTACGAAACGCGCCTAGGTGTAACCTAAGCAATCATGTATAGAAAGAAAGGGTTGGGTTCATTTGCCAGCTGCATAGCCGAACTTGGTGGTGATGATGCCGATCTAGAATATCGGTATCAGGCTAGAAGTGTCAGAATTTCGTACATGGGGAGAACGTGAGCCACGATCCGGGTTGGGTATTAGAGAATCCAATGTTAGACCTCGCCAAAAGCATGATGAGAACAAGGTTATGGATTAAGCGACCAACAACTTGCTGCAGTTGCGGGGACTACCAAATTAGTCATCATAACGTAGTAATATGAACTCCGAGGCCTGATGCTCTGGTCTGATGGACGTGAACGTAATTCGAGTATTTGCACAAGATGACAGCATAATGATGTGTATAGTAGGTTTGGACAAAGTTGCAGGCCGATACGCTGATGATAAATATCTTGCAGATAACAACTTGCTTGATGCTCTCCTGAGTACTGCATTGTGGCGATCTGAAATAGTGGCGATGGCCACCAAGTTTCAGGTGACAGGTTAGATAGCAGGGGCTTAACTTAGGTAATAGACGAGCATGACGGTAAGTAGCATCGCGTGCCTTAGACATGGGTCAGATCAGGGTTGTGAGACAAGAAAACGAATATCTACATGATCGTCATGGCTTAACTAGCGTGTCCGCGGATCCCGATCGGACATGGCAATGACCAAGGGAGACATGCGGGAATCTTGGTAACACCCCTGTCTAGAAGCAAGGGGTAAAAGGTACAGCGCGTTAATGAAAAGACTAATAGAGTTAACTTAGCCGCGGCAGTAGCGTTGCTTAACCTGGCAAAGCAAGTAGCTACTTGGCCCTAACAGCTCGCTAGAGCTTAAAGATTAAGAACTTAGCTGTACTACATACAGCCTACCTACCTTAATAATAATTATAAACTTAATAACTTTTCTTAATAATATATTTAACTTTATATAAACTTATATAATAGCTATATTTCTACTAATTTTTTATATTTTATAAGTAAGTAATAATTATATAAGCTTATTTATTAATTCTTTACTTATATTAAAATTAGAAACTTACCTAAATGTACTATTAATATTTAAATTATTTAAAAAGCTTAAGCTGCTACTTACTATATAAAAGTATTATACTAGCTATATTATAGTTTTTTATACTACCTATATTTTTTAAGTTTTTTTTTAATTATTACTTAAGAAATACTCTTTTTTTAATTAAGTATATAACCTTTATTAATCTTTAAATTAGCTAAATTTCAAAGACCTATTAAATCTTCTGTTAATAGTATAGTATATATAAGTTTACTTTATACCTAAAATTTAGCTTAAGTTAGGCAGTATTTAACTTATTAGTATTTATAAAAATTTTTATAAATTAAGTTACTTTTAATATACTTATAATATACTTAAAGTTAGTATTAAACTACTTATAGTAAATAGAGAATAATACTAAGTAAGTAAAAGACTTTTTTAGTAAATATTTAGTAAAACTTATTAATAATTATATTTTATAGTATAACTATTTAAGCTATATATCTCTTTTATAAGTGGTACTATATAAAGTAGAGTATTTTAAGTATAAAGTATTAACTATTTTAGAAAACTTATATTATTATTTAACCTACTATTATTTAGTTTTTATTAATAGTATATTTTTTATATACCTCTTAGTTATTACTTAGTACTTTTCTATATAAATAGAACCTTTTTTATTATTAATTATTTAATACTTATACTAGTAGTACTTTTTATAAGTATACTTAGTAGCTTTAGTAGCTAGTAGCTTATACTTTAAGCATTTTAAAATATATACTAAAGTACGTAAACCTTTTAAATAGTGTATAATAGGTATAATAGTAATAAAGTAAACGTATTAGTATAATAAGTATTAAACTATAAAGTACTATTATTTTACTTATAAAATAGTATAAAGCTTAACTTAAAATAATACTAGTAATAAAGTATTTTAAGTAAATAAGTTTAAAGTATTACTAATTCTAACTAATAGTTAAATTAGCTAAGTATATACTTTGTTATATATTTTATAAGTACTTAGCTTACTTAAAGTTAACTTTAATTTAATCTTTAAGAATACTAACTTAGGTATAGTAAAGTAGTTATAAGTAATAGGTTTACTTTTAAGCCTTTTTCTTATTACTACTTATATTCTTATACTACTTAAGCTATTCTATTACTATATTAAAATTCTATAAATAGAGCTTTATTTACCTTTATTTACTTTATACTATTCTTATTATAAATAGTATATCTTATATACCTACTATTATAGTTATAAGTTCTGCCTTATTAATATTAGTAGTATTACTATAAGTAGTATAACTAAGTACTTTACTATAGTACTATATAAAAGGTTAAAAACAGCCTATATTAAGTAGCTAAAAGAAATATATTAGATATAAAAAAAGTATATATAGTAGGACTTTATAAGTAGTAGTATATTTAGTAGACTTATAAGTATAGTAAAAGCTATAGCTATTAAGAAGAAATAACTAATTACTTTACTAATTTAAGTATATAACATTATTAAAGTACTAAAGCTACTAAAGAGCTATATTATTATTACTATAACTACTTTTAGTAATGCTAATAAAGTACTTATTAAGTAAGTTTTTTACTTAATACTTAAATAATATTATAGCTTTAATAATAATTATTAGCTTTATTATATCTCTAGTAGCTAATATAGCCTTTATAAAGGTAATAAGCCTAAAGTTATTAAAGCAAAAAATAATAAGCTTTTTATAATTATATATATAAATATATTAATCTTTAATAATATTAATATAGTAGCTAGTTTTATTTATATTTTATATATTATTAAAGATAATAGCTTACTATTAATAGCTATATATAGTTAACTAAACTATTAATCAAAGCCTTTAGGCTACTAGGTTTACTTATACTTAAGCTTTATTAGTAATACCTTAATATACTTATATATTAGGTATTCCTTAAGCTAATATATTATTTAGTTTTTACTAATAGTAAAAGTAAGCTTAAAGTTACCTTTAAAAAACTTAATAAGAAAGTAATTAGCCTAGGTAGTAATAAAGTTATAATAAACTTTAAAGCTAATAATATTAATTATATTACAGTAGTACTTAAGTATATAATTTTACTTTAGTAATAGCTTTTAATAATTAATTATAAGATATATAAAGTAGTTATTACTACTATTAAAGGTATATAAAATTTATTAGTAGGTAGGTTTATAGGCAATATACTAAGATTTAGTATCTAGGTTATTTATATAATAGAGTATAATAGCTGTTTTAGTAATAGCTAATTAAAATAACTAGTAAGCTGTATACTTTTAAAAGTATAATAGTATAGTAGGGTAACACAAATATAAAGTTACTTTAAAAGTCTACTATTTCAAGAGCGTATATCTTAGTAAGTAATAGAGCTATAAATATAGAAAAAAAAGATTTAGAAAGAGAAAATACAGATTTATAACTAACAAATTTAAAACTTTTGCTTAGTAATTTCTAGAAAATAGTTTATTAGAAGTGTTTAAGAAGAGTAAAAAAGAGTCTAATAAAAGTAATAAAAAGTATTTTTTATAGGTATAAAACTAACTTAAAATAGTATAAACCTTCTTATTTATATATTAATATTAGATCTTAAGTTTTTTAGGTCTAGTTACTTTAGTAAAAAAGATAGAATTTAGTAAAGTAGTAAAAGTAATTAAAATAGAATAATATAATAGTTAATAGCTAACTAGTACTTAGTATCCTACTCTTTAGTATTTATAACCGCCTTATAACGCTTAAGTATAGATAAAATATAGGTATCTATACTTTATTATAGGATTAAATTGTACTCTTTATATATAGCTCTTTTAAAGGCCTATATACTAGCTCTACTAGCTTCTACTCCTAAACTAGTAGCTATTTTATTATCTAGTCTATTTTTTAATAGACTCTAGATATTTTTAATAGGTACTAGATTAAGGCTGTAAGGTAGGTACTAAAAAAGAAAGATTTTATTTCTTTTAAACTAAGTTATTATATTTAGTGTTTAATAAGTTTTAGTATTATCTTACTATAACTTTTAGCCTAAATAGATATAAGTATATAGATCTTTTTAAGAATTTAGAAAAAAATAAAAGAGTTAGAATAGAAGTAGAAAATAATAAAAGACTAATAAATAAAGAATAATTAACTTACCTTTTTTAGTAGATAGTTTAACGTAGTACGTTAGGAAAAGTAGAGTTATAGAATCTATAGAATAGTCTTTATAACTATCCTAAGTAGTACCTAATAGTGCTTTGCGTATATTCTATTATCCTAATACTGTATAGACTACTTCTAGTTATTTCTAATAGTCCTATTACTTCTAACTAATTTACGTTTTAGCAGTTCTTTTATATCTAGTTTTATACTTATTAAGGGCCTACCTATATTATAGATTATAAAAGTTATTATTTAGGCTTTAGGTAG